TCGTTATCTTTGTAATATTTGTGTCTTTTATCAAAAACCACTCTGTTCTCCGACACGTAAACAATCAGCCGGTCGGCCATGTTGGATACAGCAGTGAATCAGACGTTGCAACAACATGAAATCTGATTGGTCAGAAGTGGACACAAAGTATGTGAAACTTTAGAAAAATCGACCGTGATCGGAAAAAATAAATGCCGCAATATCGCAAGACAGGAAAACTTCCTGATGTGAACGCTTGTATTGACAGGATACGGGATCGAAAAAAAATATTGATGTCTGAAATAATCATACGAAAAAACAGTCCCGGTGTGAAAGGACCTTAAATGAGTAAACAAATAGTTAAAGGCATGACTAATATGGAGTTTTCCTTCTGTAAAATCTAGTTCAGTAGGCTATAAAGCACCTGTCAAATTACCTCATATTTAATTTGCAGTTATTTAGCCCATGTTGAATTCTTCACATTAGCATTATATTCACAAAATCTGGCTTCAAATGTCCAAAACTTTTTGACGGTGCCGGCATGTCCGAGTCAATGTGTATTAGCCTGGCCTGGATGGAGTCAAACTCCTGGAATGAGTTATGGTCCCAATCCGCCCCTGGTCCAGTCTAACAAGACAGGGCTCAATCTTATCCCATCTATAGTATATTCATCAAATAGTTAATGCAGAAAATGACTAGGGAGGCTTCAGAGCGAACTAGAAACAGTAAATCCTCCACTATTTGTCTCTTTATTTTTAAGTGTACTTAAATCCGGGTTTTTCCTTTGACACCCTGTGATTCACTGAAGAATATAAAATGCATTAACGCACATCTTCACAGGATGATACTTTACGATACGCTATGTTATATAAACCCCCGTTCTGGTAACTTTCTGCGCAGTTTAAAACAACGTCATGGAATTATTTTCTTAAAGTGGTTCTGCGATAACTCAGCGTGAGTCACGGCCCCATTATAACCCGGGACGAGTGTTGCTGTCACGCTACCAATCACATCTGTTGTTTATCACTCCTGAACTGGAAGCTTTCACATACCTTTGCTCTTAACACATGCACCTCTATGCCCTGCAGTGACCTCTGGAGAATTTGATAATAACTGATTGATATCTTTGTAATTAAACTGCCTCTTGTGTGTTCTGACTCACTGTCTCTCTCTCTCTCTCTCTCTCTCTCTGCAGGTTGCTCAAATGAAATCAGATTTATTGCCTGATATTACCTGAGAGTTGATGTTTTGAGCAGGATGCACTTTTTTGTTTCTGAGATTTCTGTACTGATCTGAAGATGAACAAAGGAGAACATTTGGGCTCCAACAATAAAAACTGATGATAGTCATCACTGCAGTTTGCCCGAGTACATCCTCTGCACACAGCGGGAGTCATTGTTAAAGTCCTTCTAGGTGCAGAAAACGGATTATTTGCCATCTGGGGAAAACAAAACTTTCTGCAATGTGAGTGAAATGATGAGAGCCGGCTGGTTTGGTTTGATCTGACTCCTTCGTGCAGACAAACTCTGTCACGTCCTTTTGTTTATACTGTAAATTCAGCCCCTTTTGACCACTGACCCCATCTGATAGAGATTTGTTGGCATGCGATCTCCCGCTGTGAGCTAAAACTGGCACGATAACTGAGGTGTAAATTATCTAATCAGATAGCTGGATAAATTACTATTGATCAGACTCTGATCAAACACCAACCATGACTGTTTCAGTCTCTGGATGAAGTGCATGAAAGCAAATCCAAGACTAAGCAGATGATATTTTTGATACTGTGCATTGATAAAAATTTTGTCTGTAGTGATCTCTTTGCTCGACATGTTCAGGATCATTTTTAGAGTTAGAAACATCCAGTATTGTTTTGGATTGGGTCGTAGACATTAGGGAAAACTCGTGTCTTTAAAGCTCCTTTGAGAAACTTTTGATTTGTGTCTTTTTTGGCGCCCCCTGTGGTCAAAACAGTCATCACTTATCTGATACATGTTTGAGCAGTTTTTTATGACAAAAAAATAACTCATCCTGATGGTCAAATGTCTCATTTGTGGTAGAAATTGTAAAAACATGGCTCAATATAAGGATATAGAAATATTCAGCCTCGCCCCTGATGGTCTAATTTAATTTTGTACGACATTAAGAGGCGTAATAGCTGAAAGAACAAGATCGCGGATACAAGCGGCCGAAATGGGTTTCCTTCGCAGGGTGGGCGGGCTCAGCCTTAGAGATAGGGTAAGGAGCTCGGACACTCAGGAGGCGCTCAGAGTAGAACCGCTGCTCCTCCACGTCGAGAGGAGTCAGCTGAGGTGGCTCGGCCTCCCGTTAGAGGTGTTCCAGACATGTCCCACCGGGAGGAGACCTTGTGGCCGGTCCAGGACCAGGTGGAGGGATTATCTCTCTCGCCTGGCCTGGGAGTGCCTGGGAATCCCCCCAGAGGAGCTGGTGGAAGTGGCTGGGGGTGAGGGCCGTCTGGGCTTCCCTCCTGAAGCTGCTGCCCCCGCAACGCGAACCCGGATGAAGCGGAAGAAAACGACGACGACGACATTAATGTCAAAAACCTTAACAGGAACTTTAAGTAGGATGATATTGTTTGTGTTGCCTTTAGACTGAGTTTGTTGTTATTGCGCTTCAGTTTCTGTGCTGAAAAACTGATCTGCAGAGCATTGCAGGATTTCTCTTGCACCGAGCCGAAACATGGCGTGCTGCATGGATAAACAGTGATGCATCTGAAACACATTCAGGCTGGCTAAGAGACGATTTTGCAATTACAAATGATTTTTTCCTCAAGTGAACCCTCATAAATATTCATATTGTGTATTTCCTCTGTTATCTTTGTGAACTGTAATGACTTTAAAGTTAACACAGCTGATTACGTAAGGGAAACACACAGCTCCTCTTTTCTTAGTAGGAACTTCAGTTTTGGGAGTTCTATCTTTGGTTTCATTAAACTTTAAACACTCTTGTGTACATGCAAATGCAGAGGAAACACAGTCATGTTGTGCTCAAGTTTGGGATACAACAGCAGCAGCAGCAGCAGCAGCAGCATTACTCAGTACGTAGATCCAACAGACTTTTTAAAAGGAGAGGAGCTGAAGCCAAAACTTAAACATTCATTTAAGATCAAAATATCTAATTTAACTTTTCGCCATTTTCACCTGTAAGTCCAGGGTAAAAACATATTTCATATATTAAAGAGCAGAGATCTGCAAATACAGCAAACAAACTTTCAAAGAAACATTCACTGGAAAATAAATAATAAAGGACAGCTTTTGTCATGACAAAACCTCCTTTTCAAGAGTTTTTATGAAAAAAATTGAGGGAAATTTAATAATGATGATGATGATAAAAATGAAACAATGAATTTCTTTTAAAACTGAGTCACATTGAAAAGTAATGCAGTGATGATCATCTATAAATATGAGGACTTACGTCAATATCCCGCCCCAGGTCTGTTTTGTTTATTTGTTCATTCATGACTTTATCAAGCTTTTCATTCATTTATTGATTGTTTGAGTTACATATCACTGTTCCTTCTTGATTTATCTTTATTAAATAGTTTATTTATTCATTCAATAACCATTAATTCATTTATCTATGATCACTTATCTCCATTTATCTATTCATTTATTTGTTTATCGAGCATTACTTTATCTTTTAGTTTGTTCATTCATTTATTTATCTTGTTTTTACTTTTTGATTTATTGGTTGATTGATTACTTGTTATCAAGCATTTATTTATTTATTCATTATAACTTATTTATTGATTTGTTTATCAATTAATCTATTGTCATTAATTAATTTATTTTTTAATAAACCCTTATATTATTAATTGCTTTATTTTTTCAATTATAATCTATCGATCCATCGTTATTTATATATTCATCATGTATTTATTTATTATTATTTATCTATCATGATTTATTATCTTTTAGTTATTTATTTTTCTACAATTTGACTACTTTTTTATCTCGGCTCCCCACAGCCATTTATCTTAAAAAAAAAAAAATTCTGATACATTGTTTTCTGTTTTCCTTTTTTTTGGTCTTTTTTTGTGTCCTTCTTTATTGCAGTTTATGATTCATTATCTTTCCATAATGAATCATATTTTTCTTTAACCCTGTTTTATTAAATCTATTTGTGTTTATTTGCATTCGTTTTCATGCTGTATTTTGTTAAATCCCTTTTTTGAACTTTTCCCTCTTTTTTTTCTATCTTTCTGATCCTCCACAGTTCCTGCTTTTGCTGTGTGTCACTTAGTAAACATTTGTATTTAGAGATGCTTTAAAAACTAACTTATTCATCATCAATTTGAAAGAGTGTCTGACAGTTTTTTTCGCCCCTCTGCTCCATGAATAACTGTTTTCTTTAGTAGGGCATCACAGCTCTGCCTCAGTTTTTGTCTGTCTTGTCCTACTTTTGTGCCGTTTGATTCACCGTGTCACTCCATCTTTTACCCCTGTGGCCCTGTAGTGGTGGGTCACAGCTGGCCTCAGTCATGAGGGGTACACCCAACTCTGCAGATCATCAATTTAAAGCTACTATAAGGAGTTTTTGAGATTTATAAAACCAGTTCAAATTCATACAGATGCCTTTTTGTGACATCCAAAAGCAAACAAGATGATCAATAACAAGACTGATGTTTTCAATAACTTAATTTTGAATGTCCAAAACTGGTGCGAGCAGGTAGGTGTCAGCTGAGCAGCTAAAGGGGCGGCCTTGTTCATAGAATTTCTGCATAAAATAATTACAATAAATGATAAAAATGAACAGAGAGAGGCTTTTTTCAGAAGACATTACTTGAGCATGAAGGGGACAACATACGTAGAGACTTCTTTGGCCACCGGGGGGCGCCATAACTGACACAAACCAAAAAATTCCTCACAGGAGCTTTAACCACTTAACCTCCAAATTAAATAATCCCGCTGTTAAACTCAGTTCTTCATTTTGTGATCATAACACCAATGTAAAGTGCAAAAATCCAACCTTTAAAGTGAATATGTGAATAAAATGTGTCCCACTTTAAGAAATATAACTTTTTATTGACAGGAAGAAACGATAACAGCTCATGATAACAGTTGAGAGTAAAACTTGGTCCGAGGAAACCGAACAGTTGGGTTTTTCTTGAGTCTCTGTCAGTCGGTGCTAGCAGATCCCACGAGAATTATCTCTATTTTCATTTTAGTAGAAAGTGTCTCCCAGAGGAATAAATAGTTCTTTTTGGTGTGTTCAAACATAACAGCATGGAAGCACAGTATAAATGTTAACGTTTGGTCATAAAATCACAAGTATGTGTTTTTCGGTCGTGGTATGCCTGTCTCGTTATGGGGTAATGCTAATAATATGGGCTCCGTATTGGACCCCTCAGTTTTGTCACTTTTTAGATCGAAAAGTTTCACCCCTTACAACATTTGCAGCAACTTCTGAGTGTGAGTTACCAAGTCCTATGTCTCTGCTCTGGTCAAGGCACATGTAAAGTCTTACTGTGAAGCACCTTTGCAGCCCAGCTCTGTGTTATAGTCTCAAAACAAGTCTATCGCTTGTTTCATTCCTTTTTTATAGACAGTTTTTTTCCTTTAGAAGAAGACTTCTTTCAATAAATAACACAAATATATTCATACATCATATATAGATAGATAAACATGTATAAACTACATGCATTTCATATAATTTAAATAATTTATATGTACAGTTCCCCCCTCACACGTTCCCTCCCTCCCTCCCCCGACCCTTTTGTAGAAGTTTTTCTGTTTTCAGCAGTGCCGCAGCGCTCTGTGGATTCGCAGCACATTAAAGTGAAATATCGTTTCGTCGGACCCACGCTTTCTTCAGTAGAAGTGTCAGTTTGTAGCAGACTGCTGCTCTAAACCACCGCGGCTTGTAATCCTGTGGTGGGAGCAGAGGAATAAATCCTGAACCGGAAGTAGAATCCAAACAGGTAGTCCTCAGCAGGGCGCGCACGCTTACATTTACGTCCTGTGACGTTTCCTCGATAATGCGCAGACGCAGGAGGTGTCTATGCGTATCCACCTCCAGCCCACTGTGTTTCGAACCTGCGTCAGCGCTCGGACGTATGTTTGTGTCGTCTTGCACTGTGAGTTCCAGTTCTTGTCGTCAATTCCCCTGCAGCCACCTTTGAACGGCCTGGGGGTCCGACATCGTGTCTCGAAAAAGTACTGTTTGATGTCCTGCGTGGCAGTGGTTTTAATTTTGGCCAGAACAGTAACCTGGTCCCCCCTGGTGTCCACTGCTTGGGTTTTATCCGTCACCCACTGGCTCTCGCTGTCACACACAGAGTATTCCCCCCGGTAGCTCTTGTGCTCAGCGTATCGCTTCTTTCTCGTTTTGTTCCCCGTCGCGCTACTCTCCACAAAATCGTCCGCGAGGTAGAGCGGCGGCGGTTGCAGCGGAGGCCGGTCACTTAGCAGCACCCGGGGTGAGTTGTAGCGCTTGTGCTGCCTGAGAAGGTCCGAGCTCAACAACATCACCTGCTGGTCCGCCCAGCCTTCGCTGCTCCCGCCGCTGCGTGCTCCTGTGCCCCACTGATCTGCATCGCCCTGCTCCTCCGGAGGAAAGTTTTCACTGAGGAGAGGAGGCAACGTTTCCTGGGGTTCAGTGTGCCGACTCTTCCCCTGCTGGCTCTGGTTCCCTCTGGTCCTCCCTTTGGTCAGGTCGGCCTGAAGCAGCTGGATGATGAGGGAGTTTAAGGGGTCGGGACTGGGCTGCTGTTGTCCCTGATGACTGCTGTCCATGGTGGTTGCCTGGATACCATAGAGGTACACGAGGACCATCACATACAGCAGGATGGACATCACTAGATTCACCTGTAAGATCTACAAAGACACACAGAGAAAATTTGACATTAACTTTCCAACTGCAACCAAATTCAAAGAGTCATTCAACAGATTTTCAGGGTTTACAAATAATTTAAATTAAAGTCCTAAAAAGCGAGCTTATACAATGTCGGGGTTTAAAACTATTGCATGAAAATTGTGACTCATTTCACAATAGTGTTGGGCACGGCATGTCTGTTAGATGTACTGAATCACTAGAATCAGTTCACTAAAAAGATTCATTCAAAAGATTCGTTCACCAAATCACTGAATCATTTAGCAGGAGACACCTGCGACTCCGACCTCCTGAAATGATACACAACTGAATGTTTCAGGATTGAGTTCAATTCAAAGTTTCTGGGACCAGGAGACGAGAGTGTTTGACTGTGTTACTTTGGCAAACAGGTTTGTAAAAATGAACTTGTTCAACAATTACAGAAAAAAAAGTTCCTCATTGTTATCCGAGTTCAAAAAAAGAGTCAGGAAATGAGGTCAATGCTGAGTAATACGGACATTCTCTATAATGCCTTTTGTATCATATTTCATACTTTTATATACTTCTATCAAATCAATATGATCAAAAAATTATTTAAAAAAATACCTGAATACAGTCTGATGAATGATAAAAACTTCCTCTTGTGGTTTATCAGTTTCCAAAAACATCTAATATATCAAACGAGATAAATAAATATATTTGTTAAATTTTAAGAACATTTTGATTTTTTTGTTTTTCAGCTCCAAAAAAATTTGAATTTTCTGGCCATAATTTGTGGTTTCAGGCATTAAAGGGTTAAGTATGGAACAAAACTTTAAATCGAGCAAATTTTATCATAAAACAATAAAAAATTTCATTTTGAGCATTTTACATTTCATCTTTGCACAACGTTAAAAAATCAAATATACATTTTAAAAGATTCTTAATCACCAAATTTCAGCCTTATCCTTGTATATTCATCTGTTTTTCACATTTAGAACAATTAAATTTCACATCATATCAAAGAAATTAACAGACACCGTGACATGACCCTGTCATTTTGGTTTCGATCGAACTGAAAGCCTCTACTCCTATTTTTGACAGACCGCTGAACTAGAAACTTCTTCAAACTATTCTCAAACTATTAAATGAAACTTCTCAAGGCCAAGAAATTCATGAAGAGCAACAGTGATGACTTAAATCTTACAGGAATCACGAAAGTCCTTTGCAACTATGTGCCAAATCGGTTCAAACCAACTTCAAAAACTGCACCCGGAGCTCAGGCTTAGAGAGAACAAAGAAACTCTGAGTCAATGATCACGATCAGATTTGGTGTGATCTCCTGAAAACGTCATTATCTCATTATCTTTAAGTCCTTCACTAACAAACTCAAATAAATCCAAACAAACTCAAAGAAAATGAAGCTCCTTGCAACTCTGCGGAGAGAGATTTATCCAGTTTGATCCGGGGAGGGAAGTTTGTAAGTCTCTGGGGTTTTGTGGGAGCCTCTGGCTTGAACTTGGGAACCACAATGTCAATAACAGCAGCAGCAACATTGTGTGTGTGTGTGTGTGTGTGTGTGTGTGTGTGGCTTGGTATGAACGCACTGTAACTTGCAGATACATGTACAACATACCAAAGGGTCATAAAGCACCCATAATTCAGAGTTATGGCATGTGCAATTGAAATGTCAAAATTAAACGGAGCTTCCACACATGAACACGTATGACGCCGCTGAAGGTCTGCTGCTGCGGTTACCTCATTTAAGGTGAAAACAAGAGCAAGTACACTCCAGAAATACGAGAGGAACCGCCCCTCTTGGTGTGATCACGTCAGCGCACGCTCACCTCAAGTGTTTGCATCTGTGTGTTTAATGGGAGATTTACTGTTGGCGTTTATTCAAGCTGATCAATCAACACCTTTTAATCCACTCCAGCCTGTCGAGAAAAAAAAGGTCCTTCACTCTTCATCAGGGAGAGCAGCATCAGATCAAACGTTCACGAAACGTTCGTGTTTGCTAAATGCAGATGTTACGGAGCCGCACGCTCATCTCGAATCAGCACGGTCCAGGAAGTGGTGTTAGCGTAGGCCCTCGGGGGAGTGTTACAATCGCCAAAGTTTTCAGGAAAACTCACCGTCTTTATTTTAATCTTCTAACAAACAAAGGCTCATTCGCAGAGTTTTACACTTAGGCAGCATGGAGGAGTCGGACTCTTGAACGACAAAACGCACCTCGGTGTTTACAGGTTCGCTTTTAAGAACCCAGAGTCCAGTTTGGCTCAGTGCAGTTTACTTTAAATTTGGTAAACCCTGATTCCATACAGCACGGGTGCTTCATGCAGAAAGTGTGTTAACTGCATGTCAACCTTAGGGCGACCATATTCTGACTTCCCAAAAAGAGGACACGACTAAGCAGGGGCGGAGTTACAGAGTCAATTTTGACAGTTTTTCCGGGTCGGATTGAGTGTCTTTTATGTGTTTCTAATTCAGTAAGTCAACGTGAAACAAACTCAAAACTTATGACAAAACTGCAGACATTTGAAGGATTTTATAAAGTTCCCTGGACAAACCCGGACAGCCCCCCAAAAAAGGGGACATGTATGGGTAAAAGAGGACATATGGTCACCCTAGTCAACCTGGAACTGCTTCATTTTGCAGGAAAAATCTTTTTTGTGGTGTTTATACAAAAAAGCTTTTAATATCAGTCAATAGCTATCAGTTATTGATGACATTTAGAAATATAATGATATCACTGTGTTCTGTTATGTCTGTTTAGTCAACATTTTAAATTTTTTGAGCAGCCTGCTCTTTCTGACTGTAAACAAAGCCATTCCCTGCCTCCCCGATCCTGATTGGCTGTGAGGCAGACACTGCTCCCCCGTGTCGTTCAGGAGCCCAAACAAAGTTAGTGTGCTACAATATCGGACAGTAGAAACCAACCAGAAAGTTCAGACAATTGTCTGAATCCTCCTTTGGCCACGACTGTCGACACAAGCAAGAAAACGAAATAAATACCGGAGACTCTGGAGGAATAACGGGCGCTTAAAACGGAGGTAGACCGGACAAGAGCTTAAAAGCCGGGTCAACAATGATGGGGGACGCTTCGGGATCTTATGAACTCTGTAACCTTTCTGTCAAACGGGACCTGCTGCGTGTCGTAGTGTTGCTAAACTGTCCTCCCTCGGGTCCTGGACTATGTCACTTTATCCTCGTTGTAGAAGTCCTGCAAACATTGTGTTTGTTGGTAGTCTGTTGGCATCTACAGTAGCACCAATGCTTTTGACTTTCACCTTGACTGGGCCCCATTTGTAATTATCTGGGCGGGGCTTGCTGGAGCAGAGAGGGAGGGGAGAGGAGGAGCTGAGGGGAAAACTGGTTGGGAGGGGTAGAGTTTACATTCAAGATTTCTCCTAAAAACTGGCACTTCCTCAGATCCTGACTACCCCACCTTTAAAATACACAATAATTAAATATATTTACAGAAGCTTCTACAAGCAAAGGCTCCATACTTCTGTTTTGTAGAGACTCCCATTATTTGCATACAAAGCTTTTATTTTGAAATCTTGTCCGCACAAAAAAGTAACTTGCACAGCTCTGAATTTGACATCTTGTTAAAAAAAAAAAGTTATTTTTGCAGCTTTTTTATGTCTTGATATGAATAAAAACACATAAATCTGAGTCACATAACTGATCAGGATAGGATCACTTATTCCCGTTCCTCTTGATCAATCTGTGCACTTTCACTTTAAATAACTAAATCATCCAAAGCATGAAATCATCTAATGTCTCTGTTATTAAACGCTAACACACCATCAGTTTCCCCTTTTGTAAAATATGCACACAATCTATGAGTCAAAGTCAAAGAACATACAGTCCTTCTTTGCGGATGAGGAAGATTATAGTATTTATGTAGATAAGCAGGTGGTGATGTGTGTTTTTATGTTCCAGGCGAGTCGTTATTGATGCCGCAATCACACGCACACACATGTTCTCTGGCTGTCTTTCAGAGGGAGGGAGGAGGAGAGAGAGAAGTGATGGATAATAGACAAACAGACGGCAGCAGGGAACAAAAACAGGTGACTTGTTCCCATCAGCGGTGTCACGGCTGGATGAAAGCTGTCAGATGAAGGGGGTGAGAGACGGAGGGGCATCTGTTCAGCAGCAATGTCACCTTATCATCAGTGACTCAGACACACAAACACACAAAGCTCGTCCTCTCCCTGCAAACTGCACAAAACACACACATACACACACATACAGGCAGACTTGTACTTGAGTACTAAGTAGGATACTTGACGGTGAGTGTGGGAGCAAAGTTTAGAGCAAAAGTCTGCAAACTTTTATGTCACTTCTTGTCTAAAGCAAAATTTGTTCTTCATTTTTTGCAAAAGAATGAACAGCATCCAAAAGTGATTAAAAAAGTTAATTACTGTAAAAATGCATGCAAACTTTCACAGTTTTATCAAGTAGGAGAAGTTTTTAAAACCTCTTTATTAGGAGTTAAAATGAGTTTCTGCACCATCCAACCAATATCGGATTCATAGCTGAGAGTTCATGCTCGTATCTGCACTAAAGTTTAGTGACAGTTCTTGAGGTTAAAGGACTTCACTTTCCTCGTAGCCAACCTGAGAATTTTTGGACTTTTTTCTACAGTGCTAAAAATTGAGACGTCGAATTAAAGCCACACTAGAAGAAAAAAAATCAAAATTGTGATTTTTTTTTTTAAATTCTGTGTTTTTTTATGATTTGCAAAAAGATTTTCTCAAGGGAATATAATCACAAGACAATCAGGATGTAATGTCACTTTTATAGGTCATATACGGAGCACCACCGCAGGTCATTCCTCACTTCTGCAATAAGACTTTACAACAAACTGTAATAAAACTGGACTCACACCACCACTTTTTTCTGGTACTTAAATTGTGTGTATTGTATATAGTTTTATTTTTCTTATTTTTCTGCTCCCTTTTTCCTTTTTCTAAATTTTTTCTTTATTATAACATTTAAGTTCTTAATATGCAATCTTTATTTTTACAACTGCATTTTTGCACTCTCTTTGTCTGTGATGCTGCTGTGGCAAAAAAAATTCCCCCATGGCTGATCAATAAAGAAATATTCTATTCTGTTCTATTCATATGACAAAAATAAAGTTGCTGTAAAGTCATATTTCAAGAATAAAGCAAATATTTCATGAGACTAAAAAACCGTGGTCTTTTTGGTTTATGGTGAGCAGTCAGCTGCCTCTGTTAAACTTTATTTATATTTTGGCATCTCAGCACCACATTTTAATAAAAATCAGAGCTCTGACCAGACGTGCAGGAGGCTGTGATGTGTGGAATCCCGGTCCAAAACAGCATAATGTTGCTAAATGTTAACTAAAGTGACAAATCTGAATATGACTGTACAACAACTTTACTCAAGTGAGAAAAAAATGTGAATCTTTGACATTTTTTTAATTTTAAAGTGACAAAAATACTCTGTTTCAGTGAAGAACTTTGCATCCTGTATCCACGCACAGAAACTTTGCACAGTCTGATGCATTTTTTTATCCGTTCCAAAAATTCGCAGTACAAAAAAAAGAGTCAATAACCGGTGATGACTGAAAAAGAAAACAAACCCTCTAAATCCACAGATCCACCCAACTCCTTTAAAAAAGACAAGAGAGCTGATGAATGCTTACAGATATTTCCAGGTGGATTCAAGGAAGTCAGCGGTTCGGTTTCATGCCCTACTAGCAGCGCTGAGGCCACACGATAAAAATACCACCAATTTCTGCAAAGCAATTTATGCGGACAGCATGTCTGAAGCACAGAGACACACACACACACATATCCAGAAACCGCTCACAGCTCACTGGGACAGATGCAAAAAAGGCTGAAAATTGAATCTTTGCAGTAAAAAAATAAAACAGACAAAATTTTCCGAGTCCGAATGACACAATGTGAGATCATGTTTCTTCTTCAATATTCAAAAATGCAGGATAATGAAAAAAAAAGTTCTGAGCTGCTCCAAACTGCGGCATATGACTTTATAGATCCTGTAACCAGAATATATGTAAAGTAGTTTCCTTTTAGTTTTTTATTTTAGCTGCTTTTAAAGTTCGCTGGAGGATCCAGTCGTTCTAACTTGAATGCAGAGACAGTCGGCAGCCAGCAGCACCCTCACTTCACACGGTCTCAAAGCTAGCCTAAGCGCTAGAATTCAATATGCAGGAAAAATGTACATTTTGCGTAACAGAACAGCCGCTGGGTCAAATTCCAACCGAATCACTCAAAGACAAGAGTCGATTAGTCGTAGTTTTAACATTTTCTTCGACAAAGATCCACAGGGAGTGGCAGGATAGTCATCAAAGCAGAATCTATCGGACCGTCATCCCATGCATTAACAAGACTCGACCAGCGGAGAGATAAACATCAGCAACTGACTGAAGAAACAAACAGTTACGTCTGCACGTCTATGAATACATTACCTCGTCACCATGCATCCTGCAAACAGCTGTGATAAAAAAAAATAAAAAGTTGCGCTCCCTTCACCCCCCTCCAAAATAAACACATGCACCGGTCAGATCACTCTACGTTTGACCACCGGGGTCGCAGAGTTACAGCTGCTCACAGCTGTTGGAGCAGAAGTGGTCTGACTGACTGCACTTTTTTCAGTCCTCCTACTTCCAATCTATCCAACTGCTTACAAACCAAATCACAACATCCGGACAATGTCAGAAACCACTTACTGACTCTAATGCAACCATGGGGTTTTCATTCAGCTGTTCTGCCTTCGATAGGCTGATCAAGCCCAAATGTAGGAATAAGGATCTCTTTGTAAACTGAACTTCCATGAAAACTGCATCAAGTCAAGACGAATTCATTTCCCCTCCTGCTGCCCTCGATGTAGTTTATGATGCTGACATCTTACAGAGACGAATGAAGCGCAGCAGGTGAGCGATGATCATCCCTGCAGGAAGGGTGTAAATGAGAGACTGTACGTGTTACTGCTGCATTTCTGCAACACCTCAGCGTTTAAAGCCATTTAGAGCTCAAGTTCTGCACCTTCACGATGCAACACTGAAACCTGCAAGACATCCATTTACGTGGATTTACGCTGATCAGATTGAAACTTAAATGTTCATTTTAAAAAAGAGGTTAGTTTTCTTAAATCGGCTTATCCACCTCGTTTTAACTTGGCAGACAGCGGGGTCATGCTTGTTCTGCATCTTCGTGACTCGATAAAAACTGGTATTTGAAGAAAAGCGGCATGAAACTGGTCAGAAATTGAAACAGAGGCTTCTTTTGGTGACATTTTAATCAGTTTGAAAAGGCAGAAACAAAAAATTGATGAGGTGCTCGTCCCGTACAAAGGGAACTGGAAAGTCTGGGATTCGCTTTTTTTCACGGAGCGGATAAAAAAAACAGTCGGAGGGCACTTAAAAAAAAGCCAGGACAGCAGGATACAAAAACGAGCCTCTCCTGCAACATTTACCCGACAAATGAACAAGTCGTCAGAGATGAAATTAACGAAACTGAAAACTCCTGCTTCAGTTAATTCCAGCATTTGTTGAGCCAATGCATTAAAATCTCGAGCAGATCCGCCAATGTAAACAGATGACACTGATTTTTTTTATCTTAAAGATTTCAATCACAAAGCAAGAAGTGGTCACGTAAAGCCACCTGTTGTTTTACGGCACTTCAAAAGAACAACAGGAACAGCGTGTAGATCCACCCTCTACTCCCGTGTACACACAGACATTTCCAAATGGCGAACACAACCCAAGGGCGTGATCTCATCACCCTGAACTACATGTTACTTTAGGACGGCAAACTTTCTCTGTCATGGAGAAAACCATTCTCCTCTGATTTGAGACCTGGAGGTGACATAAACGGGAAGAACAAACTTGGATTACAACGCAGGAGATGTCCAAACTTGAAGGGATATTCTGGTGTAAAATTAATTTAGGGTCAAACACACCGTAACACAGAGTTAGACACCCCCTCGAGAGGTGAATGTTGCCGACCACTTGTTTCTCTAGTTAAACCAACTTTAGTAACGACCGCAAGACAGCAATACACAGCGGTCTATGCACGCAAGCGGCATTTACACATCTCCACTCTCCTCCAGCAGCCGCTTGTTTGTAGGCGAGCCCTGACAAGTCAATCACAAAGTGCAGCGGAGTTTCGCAGCTCAAGGAAGAACATTTATGATCATTTCTTCATGGAAATACAATCAGACCGAGACGCTAAGGCAGAAGAACTACCGCGTCTGCAGTGGAAAATGATAAATAGGATGATTATTACTTCAAGGAAATGATTCGCTGAACTTAGTGATCGACTCGTCAGCGCTCCCCCCACAAACAAGCAGCTGCTGGAGGAGAGTAGGTGAGTTGTGTTTAGTCTCTTTGCTGAAGAAATGAGTCAAAGTTAAAAAGATGTTTGGTAGCTAGTACTATGTCTGGGACCCTACATGTCCTGTTGATGAAGTTTGGTGCTGTTCTGAGCATTATTTGTGGTTATAGAGTGGCGCTTTGGTTGAGGTTTGCACGTGGAGACATAGACCGCTGTGTATTGCTATCGTGCTGTCTTTACTAAAGTTGGTATAACTCGAGAAGCAAGCGGTCGGCAACATTCATCTCTCGAGGGGGTGTACAACTCGGTGTTACGGTGTGTTTGACCGAAATATCCCTTTAAAGTTCGAGGTCTTTAAAAGCCCTCAGGTGCATATTTTACTTTGTCCAATCAGTGGGTAATAGAATTAAAGAGAGTGCAGAAACGCATGTCAGATTTCAGATTGAAACGCTCCTTTGTTCACTCCTCCAGGTGGAGTACTTTCAGGAGTGACGGTTGCGTTTAAGGACACGGAGTCAAAATACATTAAGATAATTACGCACTAATCTCAACACACTTATAAATGTTAGATTTAATTATAGTTAAGCCTGTTCTGCTCAACGCAACACTCTGCACCTTCAAACACAGCGTTGATTGTCACTGAACAACAGTGGGTCCTGGGTCTGTTTTTATGTGAAATACCAAATTGGATCTGGAAAACCAGTAATCACCCCAGATCACAAGGAGCCACATGAGCCCAGTGTTGACGGCAAGCCTGACCAAAGAAACGATTCGAGGAGCAAAACTGAGGCAAACAGCTGGAACAGGAAGGTTTTTTTATTTGGTGATTCACAGAAATCTTGGACCGTCGATGAAGCGGTGAGAGATCGATGTCGACAGAGTTTCAGAGTTTAAAAAGTCTCTGATGTAGACAATGAAAGTCCTTTGCACCTTTGTTTACTCATCACAAAGTACATTTGCCAAATCTCCAAGAGCGACGCAATGAATGCTCATATATCCAAATGTATGCGCTGTTATCTCCTTATACTTGATTCAACATGTTTCTGCTGCTCAATGAAGGCACGGTTTTCACTCCACCTCCGAGTGTGGTCTTTCAAAAGACCTGAGCTTTGAGTGATTTCTGTCAGGGTTACCACCGAGCTGTTACCTTAGCTCCTCCGATGGGATCATGTAACCCTCAAAGTCACGAAATTCACTTTGACTGAGAATGATTCAGATTTGTGTTGAATGCTCTGTGGGGTAAACACTGTGTGCACAAACTGTAGAGGACTGAAGGAGCAGGTTTGGACAAGAAGAAACATCTGATGCCTCTGGGGATCGTCTGATGACCCGTCCATGAATGTGAGGAATTCTGAACTAATGCTCATGACCAACCGTTGTGTTTAAGACTGAGGTTATCACAAAAAAACTCTTCTGAATTTTTCATTATCTGGCTTTTCCCCAAAAAGAAAAAACAAGACTGAACAAACAAGGAGGCATGTCCCTCTACAGAATCACCGTGTGCCTCCAGGATGGTGTTTCACACTTAAATGGATAATTGCTCACGAAAATATATTTTTCATGTGACTTTCAGATGCTCCTGTTGCTTGAAAATAGACCCGACCCATGTGACTCCCATTATTTTAACACAAGTCAATGTTTGGCTCCACATATTCAGAAGTTTAATGCCGACTTTTACCACTTTTGCAGACGAGAGACTCCTGTAACTTTGCCTCTTGGCTCCAGAAGTTCTCACAGTCATGCAGAACCTGTTACATCTTCTAAAAAATCCCTTCAAAGATATTTAGTCGAAAAATTAATACCGTCATTATTCCTGGTACAAAGCGTCTTTGCCATCAGCCCAAAGGCTTTGATCCTGGATGTTTTGGTATATTTGGTACACTGCACTGAACTGTAACCCTCAGTTTTTAGATACAATTCCTCATTCAGTAGTTAAGTCGTTTTCAAAAGAGATAAACAAGCTTTCAAAATCAAAATGCTCGACCTTAAAGGGATATTCCGGCGCAAAATCTAGTTAGGGTCGAACACACCGTAACACCGAGTGAGACACCCCCTCGACAGATGAATGTTTCCGACTACTTGCTTCTCTAGTTATACCAGCATTAGTAACAACCACACGATAGCAATACACAGCGGTCTACACGCGCAAACCTCAACCAAAACGCCGCTCTGTAGCCACAAATAATGCTCAGAACAGCACCTAACTTCATCAACAGGACATATAGGGTCCTAGCTAAAGCACTAGCCACCAAACATCTTTTTAACTTTGCCTGATTTCTTTGGCAAAGAGACTAAACACAACTCACCTACTCTCCTCCAGCAGCCGCTTGTTTGTGAGGGAGCCCTGACGAGTCAATCACAGAGTGCAGCGGATCATTTCCATGAAGTAATGATCATAAATGTTCTTCCTTGAGCTGCGAAACTCCGCTGCACTCGGTGATCGACTTATCGGGGTTCCCCCACAAACAAGCGGCTGCTGGAGGAGAGTGGGTGAGTTGTGTTTGGTCCATAGACTGTATATACTATGGACAACTTGACTCTGCCCTCTGCCAGTATATGGATTCGAGGCCGTAAAGCTCTCGGTAATTCTGTGTTTCTTCTTCATTTCATGAAACCACAACTTGCACAGTAGCGTTGAACATTCGGCGGGAGAGTCGCTGAGAGTCGCTGTGGTGACGCAAGGTTCAAACGGCGTATCCCCCGGGTTAGCTACACAATCTTTGTACGCCCTTGTATGCCTCTTGAGGGGGTGTCTAACTTGGTGTTATGGCATGTTAGACCCTATCTTAATTTTACACTGGAATATCCCTTTAAGAAGAATCACTTGTGCACATGAAGGGCCTCAGTATTTTTCATTGGGGGGGGGGGATCAAATTTTTCCACGTGCTGGTTGAAAAATTTTAGAAATATTTAAATTGAGATTTGTATTCTTGCAGCATGACTTAAGTAGTAAAATACAGTTTACTTTTATCTGCACAGTTTGTTCATGATTAAGCACTCAAATATTACAAATGCTAGATTCCCTCATCGTCACTAATCATGATGTTTAGTTTTCCTCCCAGTAGCCCTAAAAAAATCCACAATATCGTAACATAAGAATACAAAAATCTCCTTTTTTGCATGTAAGTCTGCAAAAATGTAGTTTAATACATTTTAAAAGCAAGTAAAAGTCCCTGCCTGCAACAAGAAAGCAAAAAAAAGGAGAGAATGTTGGAATATATCTTTTGTTACTCCTCTGTGTGATTTACAGAATTTTGAGAGATTCTCGACCGAGCACTCATCTCAGAAATGCTGTAATTTTTTGGCGCTTTACTTTATAAAGCTGATTTGTTCTGCACTATTTTGCAGATGCAACTCTCAGGCATGGCAGAATTGACCCCGTCGTTTTCCCATTAAAGGGGCAGCAACTGGCATCCATTGTGGCTAAAATACACTGACTACTGATATGTTGCTCATATGACCTCAATTAAAAAAAAAGTGAATTATCCCTTTAAGCCTTTTCTCAGATTTTAGATTAAGTGAGTCAAACTGATGCATGACGGACACGATCCATCATTTATGTTTGACAACAACCTCTCTCGTTTTCAGCTTTTCGTCAAACAGACTCTAAATACTCAGATGTAAGAAAAGTTTCCTCCCCAGAGCAAGAAAAACAGCCTCACACTGAAAACCCTGAAGCGTAGTTTTGTTTGAAAGACATGAAAATCACTCACTCTGATGAATCCTGTCACAGATATAGTGACAGAAATGAAGGTCTGAACGTGACCGGACTGATGAATTAAGAGATTAGTCCTGAGACTCGGCTTGGCCCTCGATATAAGAATCCAGATCAGGCTGTATCATCTCAATCCACTTTAGCCTCTCTCAGACGCTCGGTAATCCCTCACTTGGAGAAACACACTTGGAGTCGCTGCCATCACCTGCTTCTCTACCAGTCTCTCTTTTTTGCCCGGCTTTCTCAAAGTGTCTCCATGATAACATCAGAATACAGTGCGGACACGCTCTGTGGTCAAATGTCTGAAGTATCCAGATAATCACCAGCATCTTTGATACGAAGCAGAAAAGAAATTCGGAGGAATTGTTTCCATCGTGACTTAACGTGTGTCAGAAAAGTCACTGAATGACTCAGGATGAAGTGTTTTTTTATCGGCCTGAATTCACCTTCAATGACACACTGAACAAACATCTCAGAGCAGGTCAGGACATCAGCGAGGACTTCGGTTAGCTCCTGTTGAGAGATCGTTTGAATAAACGCCGAAGACTCTTCGATGACAGTTAAAAATGACAAGTGAAACTAAAACAGTCGCACTTTTTGTTGAGGAACTTTGGTGTTTGTTCATCTTGGCGCCACTTGTGGACTGAGAAATCTTTCTCGACAGACTTGAGTAGAGTCTTCTGTCAATAAAAGCTCATCCTGCTGATTCTTGACAGTCAAATGAGTCATTTACTGTGAATACTGTCAGATAAAAATGTAGAAGAGAGTTGTTTACCATCTACTCCTGTTCTACACCGGTTTCAGACATTGAAAATTACAGAATAAAAATCATCAATGTCCTGCTGACGGTCTTGTTTGCCTCTACATATAATACAAAGGTAGTAATATGAATTTTTGTCTAATTCGTCAATGTCAAAAAAAACTCCTCACAGGAGTTTTAAAGTTCCAGATTTACAGATAAGAGCTCAGTGAAGCTGCTTTAACATGTCGGCAGCCTGTTTGACAAGTACATTTAAGACCTATAAAGCAATTCAGTTATCACCACTGAGTGACTCTATCGATGGGAAACTTTGACAGACTCATGCTCAACACTCAACACTTGGCCGCCAAAGCTTAATGCCAGGACGCCAAGTTGAGGCCGGCAAACGCTCACGATGAGCAAGTAAAGACAGAGGCTTCAAATAATGTCTGACTACAAAACTCATAACTATATTTATTACTTTATTTTTATTAATTATTATTATTATTAAATTAATGACTCGAAAGTACATGTGAATGTTCAATGTCAGCACAGTGAGATTTGTCTGCAACAGGCTGTAAACGTGTTAATTTATGCGAGAAAAACAGGCTTTCAATGTGCGTCAATAATGGAGTCTCCAGAGTTTTAGCAGCCAATCATACAAATCATGTTATTTTATTATTCTGTTGAGATTTGTTTTACTTTTTGTGTCGAAGCCTGGCATGCTACAAAGAAATTTGTAGACATGTTAAATTAACAGAAATTAGATTTAATGAAGTTGAATTTGCATGTATTTAAAAACATGTATTGTTTAATGAGCTTGCATCTCCTCCAAAGACAACTTATTTACTTACTCAAAAAGCAAAAGAAAGATCTTCACTATAATGAAAGTTGGCAGTTTTGTGATTTCATGATGGTAATGGGCAAATCAGTATCGACACCGATGAAGGTTTGAACTCCTTCGGCCCCGTCAGCTCCTATTTAATCAGTTTTTAACACAATTACCGAGATCTGATTTGAATGCTCTCAGTTGTAGGATGAGAAGTTCCTGGAAATCTGAGCGAGTCGAAGCCAAAAGTGTTCACATGACTCTCAATGTCGTAACAGCAGGGGGGCGAACCGTCAGCTGGAACCACCTCTCTACGTATAAACACACTTTTGTCAGTCTTTCATTGACATCTTATCGTCTTCTCCAGATACTCTAACTCCACTTTTCCTCATAATTCAATCATGATCTGCAACACAGACACAAGAGCAAAGTGCCCCCGACTTATTGTCACAAGACCCACAGTTTTTTAGGTCAAATGGAAATGATTACAAAGAGCATTGTGCAAACAAAACCAAAACAGAAGCACAACTGTTCTGGTGGAAAATCCGATCGAATGTGATAGCGATGTTTGCCTCACCGTCTGTCTCCCTCCGGTTCTTCAGCTTAGGAGGCTCAAGACCCATTAGGTCAGTGTTCAGGCTTCATCCCCTCATCATCTCACACTCCTGTCTGCTCATATTCACCTTTGCTCTCCATCCGCTTCAGCTGTCATCCGTCTTTTAATATGCGCATCATCCATAAAGTAAAACAACTTCTATTCTCCTAAAATAGGTGGTCATGGTGTTTCCCCCCGTCAGCGTATCCCTCCTCATGTCGGATATCCCCGCTCTAATCACTCCTAGGAAACAGCTGGCTCGACTGCCAAGATCCTCGTCTCACCTGCACTTCACGCTCACTGAAGCTGATAATCTGCTACCAGCCTGTGCTGAAATTTATCACCGCTGCACATCTATACAAGTATCGTGCAAAAGTGCAAAAAGTTTGACACAGAAGTCAGCAGGAGTCCGATTTCTGAGATGGAAAACAGTCTTGAGTTTACATCTGCAAACATGTCTGACTTGCTGTCGGCCTGTATGAGCTGCAGATAGAAGCTGCAGGATTGGTGCGGATAATCAGGGATTGATGCGGATAATCAGCCGCCGCGTGGAGGCATCTCAGCTTAAGTCAGACGGCGTCCCCCCCCCTGAAACAGCGGCGTGCGGACACCCGCACACCCACAGAGGTGACAGAGGGCTGTTGGATTCACTTATTTATGTGTGTTTTGTTTGAAGAGCACACACGTGAAGCGAAGCGCCGCAGTGTGATTACTGAGCAGCGGAGATTTGTGCACAAGCAGGTAACTAAAGTGTGTGCCTCTAAGCTCCTGCAGTTAAACGGGCAAATTCAATTACACTACATGCCGAGATAAATCCATTTGTATTTATCCCCTGCTTCTAATTTTACACATGCAGCAGAAACAATTCACACAGCTCGAGCAGTGCAGCCTAAAGCGCTTTGTAAAAAAGAGCATCAGATACCCACTGAGCAGTAGATGTCTATTTTTACATGTCTATTTTTTTTAGACCTAATTTCAACCATCTTGATTCTGTCGATTTTTAGATGGAATTTAGATGTTGCACTTTAACCCATTATTCAATAACTATTATTTTCAAAAAGCAACTGTGAAAGCCATTGAGCAATAAACAGTGTAGTTTAGATGAAGCCCAGATTTAGACTTGGTCTAAATTTAGACGTCTAAAAAACTTTCATTTTTAGACCTGTGGTAGTCTGATTTTAGACCAGTCGTCTAGGCTACATTTAGACGTCTATTAGACCTCTTTTAGACCAACAAATGCTCAGTGGGTAACTGTCTCAAACATTATAATAAGATTAATACATTAATAGATTATTGCAGTAAAAATTTTCGACCCCAAAAATCAACGAATGAGGGTGGGCAACGACGACGTGGCTGGGCGGAGCGTGGCTCGACAGGGTGAATATATACTGATGGCAGCACAAAAAGGCAAGTTGAAACTCTCAAAATACAATTAACTATTCAACAAACCACCCGACGTTGATCAATGTGGACGCTCTTCAATCTTCCTGTCTCCAGCCGGTGGCCAGTGGGTTGGGCGAATCCAAAATGGTGAACACAAGGGGGGTGTTCTGAGACAGGCTGTTAAAACACCCCCATTAGCACTTGGTACGTTCCACCTGATGAAATTAACCATAGACTGTAAATTGACGCGGAAAGAAAAGCGAGTCGAGCAATCAGGATTTTGTTATCGGCCAATAAGTCGACTAGACGACTAGAACTTTACAGCTCTCGTAAAATCGATAGAAGAAGTAAGAAAATAGAAATCAGGAAGGCCAGTTTCAGCCAAACAAAAGCACTAAATCTGATGTTTAATGAATTGAATGATAGATATGCGGTCCTGAAGCAGAGGTCCAGAGTTTTGGAGCATAAAAACGGAAACCTTTAGTGGGACACATGAGGAACATTTACAGTGAAGCGTTTAAGTACCAGAGAGACCAGACTGGAGCTTAAAACGTACGGAGGAACTTTAAATCAACAAGTCTGTGCAGAATTTTAAGACGTGGAGCAACATGATCAGGTAAGGAGGAATAAAAATAAAGGAGCATGAAAGATGCAGTAAAAAGGAAAGGAATGATTCTCCTAATCTGATGTTTTTAGAGACAGAAAGAGAAGAACAAAATAAGACTTTACTTCATCTCCTTTTCCTTCACCACAAGCTTCACTTTTTTTCCCTGTCAGTCATGAGAGCCGGCTTGTTCTGGTTTTTAAAGTGTCATAAACTAACGCCTGTAGCCCACAGACTCATGAACTTAAACACCTACAACATGCTGAAGCTCCGGGCTAACTCCAAGGCAAACCCGTCTGCAGCAAAAGTGACAGGCGTGACAACATATCCGAGCTAAATTCCTGTAATTTTTCACACAGTATGTCACAGAAAGTATTTTTTATGTCTTACAGTCCTACTCTCTTCTTTTACACAACCTCACCGGGAGGATTTGTTTCTGCCTGATCAGTCTCACTTTAGCTTGGTCAAAAAAACCAAAAATATTTGGTCGGCTCTAAAAAAAGGACTCAGTCTGGGCACGCCCACGGATCATCTGAATGAATTAGATTCAGACTCACAAAGACCCAGATTCAGTTCAACGCAGCACTTCCATAAAGAGACGGACTTTTCTCTCAATGAAAAAGAGACTCTCAGAACTTCCTAACTATGAATGCATTACGAAAAGTTCAAGTTCCGGTCCTGTCTGTATCATTAAAGGGATATTCCGGCGTAAATATAAGTCATAGTCAAACACACCATAACGCCGAGTTAGACACCACCTTGAGAGATGAATGTTGCGGACCACTTGCTTCTCTAGTTATACAAACTTTAGTAACGACAGCACGATAGCAACACACAGCGGTTTACGTCCTAACTTCGTAAACAGGACATATAGGGTCCCAGCCATGAAACATCTTTTCAGCTTTACCTGATTTCTTCAGAAAAGAGGCTTAACAAAACTCACCCACTCCCCTCCAGCAGCTGCTTGTTTGTAGGGGGAGCCCTGACGAGTCGATCACAGAGTGCAGCGGAGTTTCGCAGCTCAAGGAAGAACATTTATGATCGTTACTTTATGGAAATGCAATCAGACTGAGACGCTAAGGCAGAAGAACTACCGCGTCTGCGGTGCAAAATGATTATTATGATGATAATTACTTCAAGGAAATGATCCGCTGCACTCAGTGATTGACTCATCAGGGCTCCCACCACAAACAAGCGGCTGCTGGAGGAGAGTGGGTGAGTTGTATTTAGTCTCTTTGCTAAAGATAAAGATGTTTGATGGCTAGTATCCTATACTGTTGATGAAGTTGGGTGCCGTTCTGAGCATTATTTGTGGCGTTTTGGTTGAGGTTTGCGCGTGGAGCCAAAGACCGCTGTGTATTGCTATCCTGCAGTCGTTACTAAAGTTGGTATAACTAGAGAAGCAAGCGGTCGGCAACATTCATCTCTCACGGGGGTGTCTAACTCGGTGTTATGGTGTGTTTGACCCTGAGTTAACTGACTCTCTAGGAGTCCATCATGCTGTAGGTTCCTCTGGATCGCTGCCAAAAGGAACAAAATACCAGGACAAAATACGCCTGTAATACTATTACCATTACTATCTGTGTAAATGTCAGTGCAGCCTGTGGCGATGTAAGTTAGATCACGTCAGAGTTTGTTTGTATGAGTGTGTGAGAGGCTAAAAAAAGAGCCCCAGACTTGTGTTTTTATAACAAACTGTGCAAAAGTGTAAGCTAGGAGCAAGTGCATCCCTTTAAATGGAAGAACAGCAGGTGTGTGTGTGTGTGTGTGTGTGCGCACTTCTAAATCAGCTTCAAAAACAACACTCCTGTCTGGGTGTGTGAGAGCTACATTAGTGCCAAGACTCCTTATCACGCTCTTTTGTTAGTTTGCATGTCAGCGGTTGTTGGTTTTTGTTTTGGATCATTGGAAAGGCAGAGAGCGCAGGAACTACAACACCGGCCCGGTGGCTTCAGGGCGAAACACAGACTTTACATATTTCTGTTATCAGATCATCATGGAGTTAAACCAACTCTCACAGGAACATATCAGCATCACCGTGGACCAGAGCTCCGACATATGGAGAGGTAAGAACTTTACTTTAGGTCAAATATTTTCATATTAAAATTCAAATCCAGGAGAGTTTTCTTAGTTTATGTTGTAATAAAACTATATCCCTTTTCCTTATAGGCATATACGACAGACTAGGTTTGCCAAAATTTATAAGTGAACAAGTTCATGCTCAAGCTTTGGAGAGGAGACTGCTTCATAAAACTGATTTGGATTTATTGATTTAGCTTTTTTCACTGATTTATTTCCTTGTTATTTTAGTGAACTTTTATTTTGAAGGGTCGTTTGTTATCAAAGTAGGGATTAAGAACACTCTCTCTACCTTTAGTGGTAGGCACAAGACTTTCCAGCTCTTGTAGTTGGAGCAGGTTCAGGCCCGGGTCAGCTCATGTGGTTGGAGATGTGGTTGGAAATGGAGTCACAAGACCGAAACCATTGAAACCCACCTTCAAGATACAAACCACAGGGCTACGGTGTCACATAAATGCAACAGTAATTCTGTTTATTAGTGCTAACATACTTCATGTCACCCCTGTGTCAGAAACGGGTTGGACACGCCCCTGCTTGGTCACATGATCCTCATTACAAGAACTTTTCTCAGGAGCAGGTGGATTCATGCTGAAAACAAGTTCTGCTGATGGAGCAGAAGATGCTCCAGTAAAAGAGAGGGACTCTTTGGACCAAGTTGAAGTCAGAAAACTACTAAAACAAAATGTATTTGCAAGCTGTGTGTGTCTCTTTTTAATTAAAAGTCAACGTGAATCACCCACAGCACACCCCTTCAGATAAGAGTTGTTCTAATTCTGATACCAGTGTCGGAAATTGCTCCAATACTGCCAAAAATACTGGCATCGGTATCTGTGAGCCCTGGAGTTCGAGTCCAGGCACTGATCCGAAACCACATAATTTATTAAATTAGTAATTAATTTGCCCGTTAGCTCCGTTCTGTTTAAATTCCCTTTTCATTTAAAAATATTTTGGCTGCACTTTGATTTTTCAAAAATAATTATTCCTAGATTTATTTAGTTAAATTACATTTGCTGTTTTTCATTCTGTTCTATTTAAAAATAAATGGCTTGAATTTGCTGAATTTATTTGTGTTTTACAAAAGGCTGAGACAACCTTACCACAAAAATAACCATATCACAGTCATGCAGGCCTGGTATGATTTTTATTTGATAACAAACTGGTATCAGATTGGTACTTGGTATCGGCTGATATCCACAGCACAAGTATTGGAATCGGTATTGGGAGGGAAAAAATGCTACTAGAATATCTCTAATCCAGATCATCCAAAAGACTAAACTAGAGTGACAATGTTCTGAAACGGACACGTGTTTCTTTACTGTCTTTAAAGACGAACAGCAGCATGTTTGGCACAATGTTTGGCACATGGTATTAGGTGTGGAGACGTCAGTTGCAGAGTGGAGAGTGAGATCCAGAGAAATGCTCAAGTGGTCTGTAAATATACTGAAGGAGGCTCCCTGTGCAGAAGCAAAGTCAAAGGAGGGAATAAGTCAGGATATAAATGTAGCTCCCTATTAGACAAAAAGCAGACTGTTGTACATTTACGCCAGCCTCGCTCCACACACCTCAAATACACAGGTGATAATCCTTTTATAGTCCTTAATATCAGATGAAGCTCTTCTGCAGCAGAGTCAGAGAGCGGCTCTGATTGGCCTCCCTGAAATCCTTAACTATGGTTGTCCAGCAAGATCCCTGCAGACTAAATTCGTCACCAAACAGAGACTAAAAAATGCTTTACTACTCATGCATCATCATAGTTCATTCAACTCAAGCTCAAAAAGCATGTCCAAATCCACCCTGAATCCAGTCATCAACCTCTCACAGTTAGTTCAACGTTAAAACAACCACAGGAGTGAATAAACAATCACTCCAGGAGATGCTAACACCGCAAACTGTGTTGTGTAAACAGCCGGAGAAGTGTGTGGGTGCTCAAAGGTCTGATTTGTGGTGTTAATTGCATAATCTAGTAGGAATCATCTGAACAAAAAAACATGTTTATATGGTGTGAAGTCGATTAAAGTCTCGTTAACAATAAGAATATAGATTTTAGATGATTTATAGATGATTTAAAGATGAGTTTATATCCTTATTTCATGTGTCCAAGCTCTTATAAATAAAAGACTACAGTTAAATAGTCTTAAAGAGTTGCAGTCCTACCTGTCCTGCTCCTGTGCGTCTGTGTTATTATGTGTGCATGTGTGCAGTTAACATACAGATGTAAAGTAACCTCTCCAGGGTGTGGTGGTGATAACATGCCCATAATTGACAGACTTATTAAAACACACCCCTCCACTCTGGTTTGGAGAGCTGAATGAATAGGAAAAGTGCCATTTACCGGCAACGGCACTGTGGCGTGTCAGAGCAAGACAGACACCGGCCTATCCGTTTGATTAACACGGAGGACTGACAGGAAAAAAAAACAAAACAAGCTCAGTCCATGTCTGGCAGCGAGACGGCAGAAAGAGAGCCAAACGGGGAAAATAGGCCGACGTGGAGCGAAGCAGGAAGGGGAGGGAAAATTTACAGCAGCACTTAAAGCTCTTCCAGAGAATTGTTTGGTTTCTACTCCACAAACTCATCAACCTTCAGCACAAAGCTGGAGGAAACCTGCTCTACACAACATGCAACAGAGAGACACTGAGCACCAGGAGAAGTTAGAGGTCCAGAACAATGCTGCTGTCTGACACCGTCTGACACCGTCTGACACCGTCCTGTCTGCAGCAATTACACACATAATAACAACCTGACAGGACGAACCTGTATTCTCACTGATCGTCCTTCATTTCATTCAGTTTTACAGAAACTTTATGTCACTATAAGATCACCAGAACTTTTATTCTTGACCTATGATGTCCATGCCGGCTCAGAAAACTGAGGCACTGGTTCAAAAACGAACACGTGCACCGAGGAGAGGTGTCCAAATCATGAAATATTAATAATGTAGAGAACAACCTGTGAAGACGGAGTTTCTGCTCCTCTCTAAGGTTAATGTACTGGTTCTTTTCGACATGATTGGCTTTTATGCTTCTGTCATAGTTAGATATCCTAAATAATTTTAGTATTTTTTATTTTTTCATGATTTAAGTGTGAAATGTTTCCAGTAGTTACTGTTATTTCATTAGATCTATAGTTATTTTCCATAATGTTCTCCCTCTGTGTGTCATGTATGTTTTCTTTCCCCTCTATTTGTCACTTGTTACAGATGCAGCACTTCTATTCTTGTTTATTCTCATACAATGACTTGAATAAAGGTTTCTATTTTAATTTCTACACACTAAAGATAATTTATTTTCATATCTACTAATACTTGATTGGAATCCGTACATGATGTTTTACTTTGAAATTGACTGAATACTCGGATTCTACCTGGCTGTCCAACGTGAGTCTGGTCCTTCCCAAGGTTTCTGTCACTCATGTTAGATGAGGCGGGTCAAATCTGTCCCATCTTATCGTTGGGTCTCTCTTTTGGAAAGCATCTTGGGATAAAAACTGTTGTGATTTGGCGCTAAATAAATAAAATTTGATTTGATGATGATTTTGACCTTTCAGGGTCCGTCGACTCTATTTATCTTCATGCACACCAAGGGTCTGATTTAGGTAAGGCCCACACTTAAAACTTTGGTGTGTATCTTCATTGGAGAAAAGTAGAAAGAGGTTACTGTGTGCACAAAAGTGTTTGAGGTTGTGTCTTATGCGCTGGAATCAGCCGATATTTTACGCCTTGAGCTTGAATTTTGTGACCTGCCTGATCTGATGCACCTCTAAATTTTTGTTGCTGAAACTCGTGAAAACACAACTAAAGTCTGAACTCTTGCAGAGAACCAGCTCCACAACATAACTCAGCTGATGCGAAGTTAAAACAAAAGTCGGACCCAAAGAGAAACACATTAGCGTTGGATCTGATAATTGTAAGTGGAGCGTACCTTTAGACCCACACTTGACCCTGCCTGCAGCTGTTGATCACCTGGTTTCCACGCTGGATCTTTGCCCGTTTTCTCAAGAAGTGAGCTTGGCTGACTGGCATCACCTGCGTTTAATACACTTACTGTTGACAGTTACCTGATACAACCCCACTCCAGAACAACTGAACCGTCCCCTCCATGTCGGATGTTCAGATAGAACTCTTAATTGCAGGGACTGGATGATGACATATTGAGCACACAGACCTTATGCTTCCTAATATTTGAACAGCGGGAACAAACAGTCAGAAACTGATAATTGCCGAGCACACACATTAGTGGAGATCCGCCGTTCGTTGCCATAACAAAGCAGGTACGATAACATCCTGTTCAGTGGGAAAGAAGAGAATTGAGTGTGATAAGGAGGGAAAAAAAGAGGTTAAAGGTGGAAAAAAGTGATCGCTGCGCTGATCGTATCTAGGGCGCCAACCTCGTAATCTTGTGGCTGTAATGCCAGCAGTAAGGCGAGCCAACGTGTGTCAAAGACCACAGCTGGAGAGGAAAGGAAAGATCCTTTCTGCACATTTGACCCAGTATTTTAGTCGCTTAGACAACCGCCTAAATGGGCAAATGGAAATCAATAATGAGGCGTAACAGCAGACATCATAAACGGCGGATCTTATCCGGTTATCCTGGTACCGCGTTGGTATCATGTGATGTGATTATTCACTCTGAGGCAAACAGACCTGACATTTACTTTAACTCCAAACAGCAAATAGCAGCACGCAAACAACGGCGTCCTCCAGCTGCAGCGACAAACGGACCGTCATTAGAGTCTGATCCGAGCTGAGAGGCAACACATCAGGTCTTGTTCTGATCCTCGGTCCGAGGCCAGGTGATTAAAGCCATTTCTGGCTGCAAGGTTCAAAATGTGAGGACACTTGCTGCGAACTGATTAGAGATTCCTCGTTGCATGTGGGGCAGGAGGAGGGCGTGCCAAACCATCGGCCTACAAAATCTCTATTGGTTGAGTCATCCTAACCTCACATTAGCTTGAATAAGAGAGGAACGCTGGACCGTAAATTTTACTGCCGCGGCTAATAACTCGCTGAGATCTCCTTAATCTCTGCAGTGAAAACAAACATCAAATGCTACTTGAGCTGAACTATTAGCGCCACTTGAAGTCTTTAGCTGCGTTTCGCTTCACTGTGCCCCATTACAAATTCCCACAAGCCTGTTTTTACTTCATTCTCGCAGTCTGATGCAACTGACTCAGAGTAGTCAGCTGTGCCACTGACTCAGTTACACAACAGACGCTTTTAGAGAGCTGATTAGGTAAACCGGTTGGCATCGGGGTTTAATTTCAGCTCAGCTATATGTGTTTGATGGCGGCTCTGCCAACTCCTGTGGTAACTACTGCTGTGGTGGTTTCAGTCAAACACATTCAATATAGACATTATTTTTATAAGTTGGAACACTTAATTCAAAGATTGGCATGTTACTTTCTTTAAATCTGATACTATTTTGTCCCTTTTGGCACACCGTAGATCAGCTGCTGTAGTGTCTTCCTGCTTCTTGCTGCTACTATGGATGAAAAAAGCAACACTGTCCCTTTAAATCACATTTCACTTAAAAAACTCACGACAGGTATTTCCAATTGTATATTTCCTCATCTTACATCTAAAGGATTTCCATTTTTTAAAGTTAATTCTTGAAGCAAACTTCAGTGTTTATATTTTCTCATGATCCTCACAGAAACACTCAAAGTTAATGGAGCAGTGGTGTGTTTTGGTTTGCTCTAATTAACAACAACAAAAATGCTGAAAAACCATCTTTTCCCCTCTAGGCCATACTCTCAGATTAAGACAACTTTGTGACAGCCCTCATTATTAATTGACAAACATGTTCATGTCTACAGGCGGTCGGTTTGGGCAAAAACTATGACTCAGTTTCAAGACTGCGCAAGAGTGTTGGTTATTTACTTTTCCAATTGAAAGAAGTGTGACACGTCAAATCGAACTTTTACAGATTTATGTCAGACACATAAAAGTCAATAAATTTTTCACCAAAAGGCTGAAACAAAGATTCAAAAAGAACAGCTCGTGTGGCACAGCAGAGGCTTCAGTCTTCATTGCAGAGCCATTGACTCAATTCATGTCATTTCCAAATGGCAACCGCGAGTCTTCAGCAGTGAAGCTGAGGTGGGACTAGGGTGACTGTATTCTGGATCACCCCAAAAAAAGGACAGTACCATGTGGGGCGGTGTCACGAACAAAATTTTGAGGGTTTTTCGGGTCGGGTCGAGTGTTTTTACACACTTCTGACTCAGTAAGTTCACGCTACATAAACTTTAAACTTCCATACAAAACCCTCGACATTTAAAGGATTTTATAAACTCCCCAGGACAAGCTGGACAGCCCCCCAAAGGGAGGACATATCTAGGTAAAAGAGGACATATGGTCAAGCTAGATGGGACAGTTAGAAAAATATAGCTCTTTTCTCTATTTGCACACACTGCACAGGGAGTGATTTTTTGCTAAATTAAGCGTTTGATTGTTATGTATTTTTTGCAGGATTTGAGGTACAGCTGACTTGGCAGAAACGTAGCGCACTTTAGCGGTTAGCAAGGGGCTAAAGGCCCGCCACAGGTCCAACTCTGCCTTTAGAAGGTCAACCATAGTGAGGTTGAGACGACATTTCTGATGTCTGCCTCAGTTGATTTAAAAATAAAAAAAACCCAAATGAACTTTATTAACAGCACACGTTTTGATGTTGAACGTAAAGTAAGCTGCATAAACATCGGTTGAGAAATGAGCAAGATATGATGTATATCTAATGCCTTAAATGGGAACGTTGCCCTCACTAAGATGGCTGTCATGTAGGCACGTCGCTTAGCGGGCTGCTACAGCGCACTAGCGTATTTAGTCTTCTATATATACAGTATCTGGGGTCCACAGTCTATGATCATTCCCCTACCTCTCTCTCTCCACATGTCCCATTGCTCTTAAACTGTCCTTTCAAAATAAAAGGCAAAAACTGTTTCTTTAAAAAGCATTAAAAGGAGAAAACTGGCTTTTTCATTTGATGTTTAGATGGGTTGGGTGTTCAAAGGCTGTTAAAAATAATCATGCAGTTATACTCTTGTCAGCTTCAATAAACTACGACAACTTAAAACAATTTGCAGGCACATTGAAAGAGCAACCTGAGATGTTAAAGCAGCAAAAATAGCTTAAATACAAAGCAGCTGGACAGAAGCAACAACACAGAAATTACAAGTATTTCCAGGTATAAGATATAGATATTAAGCAGAGGTTATATAACTGTAGGGTTCCCTGAACAGGACTTGAACACTCAGTGCACTGAAAGACAGCCAGGACTATCATCATATCTGGCCAGCTGCCCTGAAACACTGTAAACTACTTTAGTCCCGTCTGAGGGAGGCTTTTACCACATGTAAATATTGGTCTTTCATACTGTTGTGTCAGAGATGTGAGTTAAATATTTGCTTAAAATCAGAAAAAAAATCATAATAACTTTAAATTCTTCTCTCTAAACTCTTTGTGGCTCCAGCAGCTCAGGAAAAAAAAAAAAACACGACTGCATCAGCTGCAGACAGTGAAGATGGATGATTTGTGTTGCCGTTACCGTGGAGACCCCTGTGATGATGCAGTCAGACGGCCGAGTGATGGGGCTTAGTGAGCAGTGTGCCAAACAGGCAAATCCTCTACAGGGATTTTCACTGGGCAATGTCTGAGCCTTAATGCTGTCCAATTGAATCCAGATGTTACAGCGTAAAGTGAGCGAGAGAGAGAGAGAGAGAGAGAGAGAGAAATGACCGGTCGGTTTACAACAATGAATCTTTACTCAAGATTATAATCCAACAATGAAAACTGAAAACTGAGATATGTCGGGACCAATGGTGTGAAATCTCACTCTTGACACAGACACACTTGGATAATTGCTTTGCTTTACAGAAGTATTTACTCGTGGCTTCTGTGGTCTGGAAAAGTGCATACTGGTAAAAGGCTGAAGGTGTTTTATGGAGCTTAAGTTCACCAAAAAATTCAAATAAAATTTACAGGCAAAGAAAAAAAATAACATGTCCACATTCTGAAGGCAGATCCTCTGTTTTATTTTTACTTTTTTAAATTTTAGTCAAAATAAAGTTAAGTTTAAGAAAGTGATATTATTGTAGGAACCTTGGATTAGACACAGGGGATGAGTATCTGAAATCTTTATTTAAGGGCCTCCAGTTTAGATCAGCAGAGTTACAGAGGCAAGACCAGTAATGCCTCAAAAAAACAACTTAAAGGGATATTCCGGTGTAAAATTAATTTAGGGTCAAACACACAGTAACACCGAGTTAGACACCCTCTTCAAGAGATGAATGTTGCAGACTACTTGCTTCTCTAGTTACACCAATTTTAGTAACGACTGCAGGATAAAACTACAATACTGCAGCGGAGTGATGCAGCTCAAGGAAGAACATTTGTGATCATTTCTTTGTCATTTCCTTGTAATAATAATCATAAATGTTCTTCCTTGAGCTGCGAAACTCCACTGCACTCGGAGATCAACTCGCCAGGGCGGTGTATTGCTATTGTGTGGTCGTTACTAAAGTTGGTATAACAAGAGAAGCAAGCGGTCGGCAACATTCATCTCTCGAGGGGGGTCTAACTTGGCGATACGGTGTGTTTAACCCCAAAATAATTTTACTCTGGAATATGACTTGAAAGCCACTATAAGGAGTTTTTTAATGTTTATACAACAGACTGAAATCCATAATGATGCTTTTTCATGACAAGACGACCATTTGCATCAAGATTACTGTTTTTAGTGACCGAGTTTTTAAGCAGGAAACTGGTGTGAGGAGGTTGGCGTCCAACAATAATTATATAATACCAATATTTTTAACTCTGTGGAGCCAGGTCGACCACTTTTAGAAGCATAGTTTAACGTTTTAGGACTTTTACTTGAACTCCTTTATGAAGAGACAAATTTAAAGGTTTAATTTCAGAAGTTGATTGTGATTCAAATGAATTTTTAAAGACTGATGGATGACTCTGGATTGTAGCCGACTATGCCAGTAATATCTTGATATATGAAGCAACTCTTATCGGGGGGGGTTCTTAGGTGCAAAATGCTAATTGTGCTTTTTTTTCTTGACCAAACACATTCAAAGCATTTATCTTATCTGGAAGAGTCAACATTATCTTTGCGGTTTGAGCTGGAAGGCCGGTAGCTCTCATCCTGCCTCTCTTCCTCCACCTCCCACCTCATGCTCTTTCTGTCCCCGGGGTGTTAGGGTAAGTGAAGGGAAGGGCAGAATTCCAATCATAACAGTGAATTATCTTCTGAAGGTTTCACTGCCTCCTGCCAGGTGAGTCATCTGCATTCGTGGTGATTGTCTTTTCAGAGAGCTAATTTGTGATCCAGAATTAAGCGTCCTTTGTGTTTACTTGTTTGTGAGGGGTGTTAAAAGCCCAAGTTAGCTTTGCGGTTGGAAAAAGGGAAAGTAAGTGAGCATGTTGAGGTCAGAGTGCTGTGTTTCTTTACCAGGTTTGGTGTGTCAGAACATGCACATACCTATGTACATACACATGTACATACCTACAGGTACACATTCCTTCAGCTGACGGAAAAACAAACCAGAACACACACCTCGCAGCGACTTCAGATTCACAGAGAGAGATTAGAGAGAGAGTTTTCCCAATGATCATCTCGTGACATGATATTTTCACCACAATTTCCAGCACAGACATTTAATTACTTTGGATGATCTGAGGCAGCACGTCTCCTGTCATTTACATCTACAGTAAAAGAAAAACAAACCCAAACATACAGTTTTATATCCACTTTCTGGACCGGCTGTCATCTACGCTTGTTTGCATCCGGTTAGTAGAGATTTACTGTGACTACCTCTAACGCCAAATACTCAAGGTGGCATTTCATTGGTGAGTCCACTACATGTGAACATCTCTGTCATCTCAATCGGTGCTGAACTGATCAGTTTCTGTTTCCATGCCGAAAACAAACGTGTCAATCGTTGGTGTAGGTCTGCTGATCATTAGTTCTGATAGGACAACAGCCTAAAGCTCTGGTTTCGTACCTTCACCACAGGTCCCTACACGTTATGATCTCTACATACTTATGTCGGAGTGTCGGCTTCGCTCTGCAACACTCCACGAAAGCGCTCTTCAACAATGTGATGTTACATTTTGGGGAAGTGCACGGTGTCCGTCCGATGCAGAAGCATAAACCAGACTACAGTCCGACCATTATCCAGAATCCTAAGAGAAGTATTACAACTAACAAAAAGACGTCAAACAAGGAGCTGGTTTGGCCTTGTGGTTAAACTAAGACACCTCACATACAGAGGCTATAGCAAACACAGCAGGTGGTCCAGGTTCAAATCCAACCCATGGCTCTGATCCCCCAGTCTCCCTCTTTCTCTCTATTCTCTCCATAAAGGCATAAAAAAACTAAATTAACCTAAAAACAAAAAAACTACAAACAAGCATCGAGAGACTTCAGACAACAACTACTGCATTCAAGCTAAACTCTTCAGTGTCAGTACGGTGCACACATATCCTGCTGGCTCGTAAAAGTGAAGCAATTTAAAGGCACAGTACGTAGAAATGGAAACACGTTAAGGCTAAAACATACAGGATCCGTAGTGAGCGCGCACCTCAGCGTATCGCAGCAAAGGACACGTCGCAGCTCCGTATCAGAAGCGCATCAGGGAAGATCGTTCTAGACAGGAAGTCAAGCACGAAAACCATGCATGTCATCCGTGTTTCAAAATAAAACACCATATGTGAACTCCCAACTGTGTATCTATTCATGTAGATGAGAAATACTTCCTGGTTCTGGATTTATTAGTAATACTGAACAATCTGATGGTCAATCCCTGATTCATGTGGACCCCAACAGGACTTTAACTCTGTCTGAAGGTAACAGCATAAAGGAACATAGTTTACTTTGTTAAACACGAGTTAAACTGCAAGAACCCAAACTGTAAAATCACGTTCCTTTTCCACATATAGTAGAGGCTCAACGTTCACTGAATTATATTCAAATTAGCAGGAAATCGACCACAGAAGGCAAAACAACCTGTTGTGAGCATGTTGTTTCCTCTATACTGAGCCAAGCTGACCGGGGCTGCACTACGCTGCTACTACGCTCCAAATACGCTGATCCTGTATGTGATAGACAGCGCTGGTCTATGGAGCAGATACTCGACGCTGACGGGACACGCTCAACACGGATCCTTTATGATTTCGGCTTTAGTGCAAGATGGCAGCGTTCATGCAAAAGGACCTTCTTCATATGTATCCAGTTTTTCTTATTCAGGTTCATCAAGTCTGCTTTACTAAGACTACTAAATACTGCACCCTCAACGGCTTGAGTTTTCGACCCATAACACAAGTTTGGAGAAAAGTTTTTAGCCACACGGTTCTTGTTGTTATTCATTATTGCATAAAGATGCACATCCTCAATGAAAACCATTTCCAACCACCGCTTACAAAGAGTTTGCACTGATCTGTACGCCAAGAAATGCAACAACAGTCTATTAAAAGTCCAGTTTCTGAGAAGCATAAACAACATCACGTCCCAAAGACAGAACATGCAAAAGGAAATTCCATTTGGAGGTAATAAATGAGAAAGGAAACTGATCCAACATGTCTGTGTGGCCTTAAGGATTTAAGTTTTGTTTTGGCGAATGTGATCGGAAGCTGCACTGAGCACTACTGATGCTGTTATGAAGACTTAAGAGACCAGTCGTCTGTTTTGGTGGAAAATAACCACAAGATATTTGTGCCACACAGAGATCGTCTGATCTTTTCTTTTTTATTTTGCAGTTGGAAAGATTTTGCAACTGTGATTAGATAACATCAGCGGAAGTCAAGAAGCGTACTCAGATATGAAGAAAAGTGTAGTCAGGGAGTCAGAGGCCCACTTTAAGATTCACAGCAGACCTTTTTTAAAGAGGCAGTTTTGTTTTATACATTGTCCGATCATATAATCTCACTTTGAAAACAGCCTTTGTACACGGCGATGGGGACTTTTCCACTTCTTTAATCGTGCAGTTTAAGCAGAAAATGAAGTTGGCAGCTGAGTGAAAGGATGAAAGGAAAAAGCCTGTTAGCCAGTTAGCAGACTGTTGGCTCAGCAAACGTTCAGTTTCTCTAAAATCTGCTGTGAAAGTTCAATTTCGTAAACGTAGAAAAGGGACCAATATATTAGGAAGGGAAGGAATTTTACAGGCGCACTGGATATCATAAAGGTTCACACAGGAATAAAGAGATTTCCAGCCTTTCCATGTGCTGACGTGGGATACCAAAGTCTGCAGTAGGAAGAGCACATCTCTTCTCCGATTCATGAGCATGAAAAACAAAGGCAGAGAGAGGAGCAGCAACATCCAAGTGACAATATGTATGATAGTGATGTGTCGGTCGCAAACGAACTGGTTCAATGTGAACAATGGAAGCTGGCTCCCATCTGTGAGCTGTTTATTTTAGGAAATGCCATTTTTACTTGTGAATACTTCAGAACGAAGGATGTATTAAATTATATAAATATTACATATATTACATAAATATTACTGAATTAGAAAATGTATAAGTGGTTAAATGAAGAGCCGTTTGGGAGCCAAAAGAGTCGTCTCTTCTTGGTGAGCTGAGCCGAATGATCTGGCTCACTAAAAAGAGCTGTAATTCCCATCACTAATGTATGAACAGACAGAGCATAAAAAGGAGGAGTAAGGGTGCAGGTTGCAGAAGGGTTGTGGAGGAAGCAGAAAGAAAAGGTAGATTAATAAGAACGCTAGCATACACACACAAGATATTATTAATGAGCATCCCTGTGTAGTTGGTGAGGACCTTTGCAGCCTATAAAGTCTGAAATGTTGCTCAAAGACCCTCTCTGATGAAACTCATGTTTTTCTTGTTGTCTACATGTTGAGAAAAAGATATGGCATTTGTCTGATACTACAGGACTGCAGTCAAATCTCTGTGAATCTCTGACAGACCCAAACTGCAGGTTCAAACACAGTGAGATTTCCAACATCACAAATCCAAGCTCCGCCCCCGAAGCCCAACTATGCAGGCCAGACTCGGAAAAGTAGATAGGACGATCGCGGAACAAGCGTGTGCGTTAGCGGATTGCAATGCTTGTAAGAAAGCTAATCATGACATTAGCCTTCATCATGTCAGAGCTGAATAACTTCTATATTACCCGCTTCTTCTACTACAACGGCAATGTGTGAGTGTGCAGAGCAGCGCTGTCTCCGCCCACGACTCAGAGGCGAATTGCTAATGAGCTACTGGAGCTCTGCAGAAGAAAAGACCTTGAAAATGATACAGGGAACATGATTTTGGCTGAAAAAAAAAACCTTCATAATCAGAACTTAAAGACCACAGAGAACACATTAAGTAGTAAAATAAATAAACGATTAGAGTGGGACTTTAAGCCCCTGAAGTGTTTCAAAAAAGTGTTAAAAGGTTCTCTGTTGGACTTGTACTTTGACTTTGACATGAAACATATCTGCATCTGTTGTGTTCAACATTTCTTTAAACCACATTTGACAGATAAAGTGCAGCATTCATGCTGGAGTGGGTTACTACGTCCAGCTGAGTGACTACAGTATATGCAGGAAACACCCGAGTGAGCGCTTTGTCATCGAAACATGTTCCTGCTTATTCGGACTCCAACAGCTCACAAATGAGTGAAAGCAGCTGCTGCTGAATCTTACAGACTCCTCACCCTGTGTGGCTCATGTTTGTTCCTCCCCTCTCTGCAGAATAAACAAGTGCAGCAGTGTTGACACACATCTGTGTAGTCTTTGTTTGAAAGAGAGAGACAATTAGATCAATAAAGACTCTCTCTTTCCATTTCCTCCCTACACAACAGGCCAGACAGACTCAACAGGACCTGCAGCACTTTCAGACTTCTGCTCAAAGGCTGGAGAAGAAAGGTGCGCTTTGACTTCACTTTAACACGACTTTGTTTCAGTGTGTTTCATCTGGCAAACACACTCACCCTCTGAAGCCATCTGCCTCTGTAAAAGACGAGGTGACTGGAGCGTAAGCACAGGTTAGAAGAGAGAGGCGGAGCAGTAATAGGTTATAATAACCGGCCCAAATCAGGCGTGGAGATCAGGGGAGCTAATCCAGTGTCAAGCCTAATAGAATCACAGATACAAGAATAGACTGTAGGGCTCAACAACGGCTTTGACCTTGCTCCATTGTGTGTCTGTGGGGTGTATCAGTGTGTGTGTGTAGCATGGTAGTGCCCTGGATTAATAATCCCAGGACTGGGCTTGATTAAGGTCTCGCAAAAACATCAATACAGCAAAAAATGACAATGTTTGTTTTCAGGACATAATATGAAAATTCCTGCCCACAGTTAGAGTTAAATAAACGGACTAAAAACGTTCTGGTATTTCCTCAAAATCTCTGTTACCATGCCTGTAAATGTTTTAAAGAAACGTTCACAACCTTCTCTCAGCACGTTCACATGTACAGTGAAGTCGAGCTACAGTTAAAGCTCGATTAGGCGATTTAACTGGCCCACTCCCCTTATCTTAGTTTACATGCACTGGGCAAGAATGCAATCAGTAGCTGAGTTTACAAGGGCACAAATAATCAGAATAAAGGCCCGATCGGAATAAAAAAGCGTCACGTAAACATGTCGATTGGAAAATTCTGATCAAATTGGGCTCAATCGGAAAGAAATTGTATTGCGATCGAGAGGGGTGGTTTATGCCGATCGTTATTCTGAAATGCATCGATGTAAACACTTCTTCCGATCGTGACTCTCTAACCTGACTCGACTTATTTATTGATACCAGTACAGGAAGTTTCATTATTAACACGCAGGTGCTCCTACGATAATATAACAAGGCATAAATACAGCGTAATTATTTCACATCTGTACGCACAGCGCAACCTTTGACAGAACAATAAAATAAATGAGCAGGAGCGCCATCTAGTGACAACATTTAACAAAGGGAAAATCCTGAATTGGATGGAGTTAGCCATTGCAGCGTTTGTTGGTTTGTTGACAGCACAGGCGAGTAAAATTAGACAACTCTGCGCATGTCCAAATGCTTCTAATCGGAATAAAACTCGGTGCACGTATACGCACGTCATGATCAGATTATCAGCGGGGGCGGAGTGGCGCGTAGTAAATTTTAAGAGTTTTTCTAATCGAGTTAAGTGTTTTTACGTGCTTCCAACTCAGTTAGTCCACGCTACGCAAACTCAAAACTTCCATACAAAACCCCGGACATTTGAAGGATTTTATAAACTCCCCTGGACAAAGTTGTACAAGGCCGGACAGCCCCCCCCAAAAAGAGGACATATGGTCACCCTAATTTTGCGCACATATAAACAGTAGATTCACATCTTCCCTTCCCTTAAATTTTTAATCGGATCAAGAAATTTTGCACATGTAAACATGGCTATAGACAGAAGAACGTCCAACTCTGCGGCGGTAGTGGCGAACCTTTCTTTCGGCTTGTTACTGTCAGGTCGTCTGCTGCACATTTTGACAAATTATCATATTGTGACCCATGCATTTATGTTTCTTTAACGTTTAACTTATGAGACAAAGTGGGGGACATCCCTGTAGCTGCAGAGCTGAAGCTCCCAGTGTCGAGTTGTTTTGTTGCTTTTCTGCAAGTTCACATATAAAGAAACAGGGAGAGTCTCGAACACTGCTCTAGTCTTCTGGTTGTGTGATTGCCGATTGATACAAAAAAAACTAGGTCACTAGTTTAAACACTAAAAGGCTCTTTAGGTCTCAGGTTCAACCCTCTGATTTACAGAGTCGACTCTCACTATCTGATCTTGTATTAAACCCCGTTTCGATGATGTTCAGTCATTTCTTCTGATTTTTATGAAGTGGATGAACTTTACACAACACGAAGTAAACAGATGCCAAGTCGCTTCCTTTTCCCAGAGACCCCCCGCCGGGTTCAATTAGTCATGGGTCCACAAAGTAACAAAGACATTAGACGAGAACCAAACAAGTCTGCACAATGGGTCACACGCGGTGCACATGATCCCCTTTACTGATAAGAGAGATCTGCACTAAATTTCTACGAGGATGTCAACAACGAAAACATGGACTTTGTCCGCTTCGGGGGGGGAAATCGAGATGAAACTCGGGATAGGATCTGATTTAAGCTCCCCGGCAAAGTGTGTCATCTGACCGAGGTCTTTATATGTTTTTCCTTTTTATCCCACAGTAAATAAAAGACAGACGTAATTCACTTCGCTTTCTTTCTTCTTTTTGGTGCGATTATGCCGTTATGGTTTTGGTGATTCCACATGGACAGAAATTTAAAAACGTACGGTAAGATTGTTAAAAGCAAAATACATCTGATCTTAATTCATTACAATCCTGTTGCTGGTTTAGCTTTAGCTTTTGAAGAGTAACGGGAGCGAACGTTGGCAAACTTTAAATCATTTCAGATTAAAACATTACCTAACAAAAACACGCTGTATGTCACGTGTATATTCAGGATATAAAACACTTAACAGCCTCAAACCGACTTCCTTCCACTGAGTCATAACTCGTCTATTCGCAATAGCGCCGGTTATCCGTTACCCTCTCGCCACAAGCCCAAACGTTTTTCCAGAAGTGACTTTGTTTCTGCTTAAAATCTCCGTAAACTTGACACAGAAGTGAGCGTCTAATCCTCGGATAACTGGCTATTATACCGCTAATCTCCAAATCCAGGATAAAGATCCCGACACAACCTTTATTGTTCAGTAACGAGGAAAACTTAGAACTTCAAAGACTGGTGTGTTTGCATTCTGTGGTTCCATTTTTGCATAAGTGCTTTTAGTATTTAAAAAATAAAAAAAGAGGAACCGCTTCCTCAAAGAGTCTTTTTCTCCAAGTTTATCTCTCCATCTTTGACAGCAGGGAGTGTAAAATACGAGGTGAGTAACAGCCCCCGGGGTCTGCTTTTTGGCTGCAGAGTGGTCGTCTTATTTTCCTCCTTTTTAAAGAGAAAAATTCAAACTATCCATCAGGTGAATGTTGAGAAATTCATCTTTTTGCTCAGCGGCAGGTCTGGATTTGTTCCTGTTAAGTAATAAGGTCCTCAAAGTCGAGTTTTAAGAAGATAGTTGAGTTGTTGAGGATGATTTAAGACGACTACCTCAGATTTTTGGTTTGGGAAAATTCAGCAAAAAAAAACCTTTTAAATCATTTGAATGTTAAATAATGACATGATGAACAGCTGTGTGTTTCAAGGGTTAATCTAATCTAATCTAAGCTCTGATGATGCCACAAAGTTCGCCACATAAATCAACAGTCAGGATAAAACAAGTTCCGCGTCTCGTCAGGACGATGATTAAAATCGTGAGTAATAGCGAAGGAAGCACCAACACCCAAGTTTGTGTTCGTCATCCAGACGCTCCAGCTAAAGTGAGGAAACGTCAACTTAAACCATAATTATATTTTAAGCTCTTCTGTCTCTTTTGTGCCAGAACTTCTCACCCAAACTGACGGATGACGAATATTAATGACACTGAACTTTGTTAAATTTAGTTTGACTTAACTGAGATAGAAGATCAGCTTTATCTGCGATCATATGAAGAACATGTAGAGCCGAGGTGAACTGTGGGTAATTTCATCACGCTAACGGCACGGCTGTAACAGGTAACGACAGGTTTTTCACTTTTATCTGCTGCAAACGATCGCTCGGACTGTTTCTTTGATCACTGAAGACAATGACTTGATCACTAAAATCCTTCATCCGGTTAAAAGATATTATTAAGGATTAAAACGTGACGTAACTCAAAACAGTAAGAGGGATAACACGAATACGTAATTACTGCAGTTCACGTAAATACAACTCGACAACAAACCAATCATGAAAGTTCATTCGTTGAGTAAACGGGGGACAAATCATGGCAGTGTTTAGCTATCCTGAGCTATACAGTATAAGTTTTTCTTTTTTTCTATAAAACAGGAACAAGAAGGAGTGAGCTTACAGGAAAGAGGGTAAGGAGATAGAAACATCCAGAAAGTTAGGGTGACCATATTCTGAATTCCAAAAAAGAGGACACGACTATGCGGTGGCGGAGTCACAGAGTTGGGTGTAATTTTTCACGTCGGATCGAGTGTCTTTTATGCGCTTTAGCTCAGTAAGTCCATGCAAAACAAACTCAAAACCCCTGACATTTGAAGGATTTTAAAATCTCCCCAGGACAAAGCCAGACAGTCCCCAAAAAAGAGGACTGTCCAGGTAAAAAAGGATAGAAAAATCAAGTACGTTAAACAAATCCCTGCAATATACTGAAGCTCAACTATGTTTGGTGAAAACAGACAAATAGCACAAAGGAAATCCCTTCTATTTCGATATTTATAAATTTGGGCATTTTATGAGACTCAATGTGGCACAGAGATGGACTCATTTCTTTACAAGAATTAAGAAGGAGTACACCTAATATGTAGGTGTTAAAATTTACTCAAATTAAGCTAGTAAATACTTTTAAGTGCTTGTATGAGGCTGAAATTATCCTGCAATTTGAAGTTTGTTTTCGCAGCTCTAGACTCATTTCATGCCCGGACAAACACTGATGTTACACTTTTATTATAGTTTAAAGATTTTGGCATCCTTTTTAGGTAAGTATTGTAAATAACAAAACTACAACACCCATTATTTCTGAGATTACAGGCTGTAGTGTGTGCAAATATTTGTGATTGCCATTTAAAACACTGTGAGCAAAGATTCTGCACAAAACTTAAAATTCCAGATCTTCCAGTTAGAATAAGATATTGTTTATTTTGACGAAGGGAAAATTACAGTGAAAACAATGAAGTTAGGCGCAAATTTAAAGGCAAACAGACGTAGGAAACAGCAGTGTTCATGAATGAAACTCATTCATTTGAATTTTGGTAAATCTTTTTTGTCTGTTTTATGTTAAAATACTTAAACTTCTCACCTTTTAATTACGGTTTAATGTCACCAAGTTTGGCAACCCCATTTCCAATCTATTTTCTTAGAGTAACATTTTTCAAATCGCAGTAAAATGAAGCAAAACAGTATCCACCAACTGAAATCACACTGACGATTACCGAATAACTGATTGGAAGTATAATGAACCTACCTAATTTATGATCCTGCTGAGGACTCGTTACTCTGTGTCCTGTACTCTGTCTCTCCAACAAACAAAAACTCCCGTCACGGTGAACAGCAGAGGTATGAATGTAGCTCTGCGATCAGGCAGGAAAAAGCCTCGACATGGACTGAATAAAACTCAGACTGACACGTATGCCCTTCGTTTCCAATTTGTGTCCCGTTGCATGTCTCCGTTGTTTACTGTATTCCTCGTTTGAATGAAAGCAGCTATCTGGATTTATCATCAGGGCTTCATTTGCCTTTGCATGACACAAACAGCAGTGTTGACTCTTCCAGCCTCCGGTTAAAGGAGGGATTTCAAAACAGTACCACCAGTATTTTTTTTATTATAACATCTTTATTTTTTAACTGAATTTGACAGCAGTTTAATATTCGTCAGCCAGTTTGACATCTTGAACAGCTTTATAGCGGCGTGGAGCGTGAACATTCAGCTCAGTCACGCCTGCCTCTGCACCATTCTGTATCTATACCTTTAACAAGGTCTGACAAAGGCCACGAAATCTGGTCTTGATACAGATCACTGACTCAGCTTACACAGACTTTTCATCAGCTGGAAAAACTCTCGAAGTCAAACTACAAAACTGCCCAGCATAAGTCAGTACACCACCTATTAAAGAAATTAATTACTCAATATATAGATGAGCTATATCTAGATTGGGTTGTACTCATTCTTGCATCCTGATTGTAAATTGGAAAAAATACTATTTTGTATGCAACTTTAAAAAATCATGTTTGCAACCAATGAGCTACATTTGGGGGAGTATTTTGTTGTATAGTCTGACATAGAAAATGTTGATTTTGAAAGGAAACTAAAGGGTTTCTGACAACTCTGCAGGGGTGTCCTCATTTATGCTGAACACTGTAGATAAAACATCCTGCAGGCTGATAACCTGTGAGATTAAATGGACCTACAGTTTTCATGAGGACTTTACAAGGAGCAGGACCACCTGAACAGGTCTCCAACTCTCTGCATAAAAGGGAACGGATAAACAATGAAAAATACGGAGCAGGTTTACATCAAAACTCAGCATCTCTCAAGCAGGGAGATACCGAATATGCACAGAGGTTGTGCAGTCTCTGAATCAGAAATTGTTGACACTTCAGTATCTGATGTTAGGAGACGTGAGTGAGTCAGAAGTCTCTCTTAAAGATGTACTTTTAAAAAACTGCTTAAATGTAAATCAGGAATGATTGTAGAAGTACTCTAACAACTGCAGGAGTTCCATCTGTGCTGTAAACTGAGTATGAAGTTAAAAAGCTTTAAGCGCTGTTTCTTCAGTAAGATGTAGACTGTAATTATTTCACTGTTTCACATTAATATTTACACCTGCATTAATATGTATGCTGCATTTCTTAGTGAGTTTGATGCAGTACTTAACCTTCCCCTGAGATTTACAGGAGTAGAAATATAAGGTACTATAAAATGTAAACACTCAGGCCCAGTGTAAAGATTTAAAATTGTACTTAAACTGTATTTGAGTTGATTTACTGCAGATTTACTGCAGATTTGACACACGTGTTTAAAATACAGCTAACTCAAATTAATAACAAAGCTAGCAGAAGTATTTTAGGTACGTTCCTACATCTGACCAGGTAAATACTCAGCTTTCTTGCCCTCCATCGCTCCACCTGAGGACCTTCAGACTGACATAAGGACACGAGTAAACATCATTTTTATGTTGCATTTTGATGTACCTGCAATCTCAGATGAGCTACTATCATTCGTCCGCGTCCAAACCCAGAGGAGGACTCTGTAAACTCACTTAGGATGAAGGAGGCTAACATGAACCTCTTTGTAAATTAGCACCAATAGAGCTAATGAGCCGCTAAACGAGCTGATAGGTGTTTGTAACTGGTGACCAACGCCGTCCTGCTGAGATTGGCAGAGACTCCCTCCCCTAACATCAGCTAAAGGAGCTAGCTGCTAACAGAGCTAATGATAAGGGTCAGAGAAAAACTCAAAAGTCCAAGACGGGGACAAAATATCATGTTTGTGTTGCTTCTTTGGTTCGGCCAGAATTTCAATGAGAGAAGTGAGGACGACGGGAAACTTACCCTGACTTTAATTAGTGGGAGGGTTTGATCTGGTTAGTTTTAGTCTCATCCTCTGAGCCCATCAAGCACTTTAGTCTCACATGCCGACCACATGAAAACACAGTTCCAGCACTGTCAGTCCTCTCTTTTAAGACCATCATCTGCGACGGATCAAACAATACATGAAACAAATGTTGTAGTCTCAGCATGTCTGATCTCCATCGATTATTGTTTGGGGTAAATTTCGACATCAGATGTTTTAAAGAGACTTCACGGGTTTAGAAACGTTTCATCTCCGTTCTCCAGGGGCCTCATCGAGTAGGGTTTGTGATTTGATCTTCAGGGTGAAGATTAAAGTCAAGATTCGTCGTCTGTCAGGGTTCGAGTTTAACCAAAAGAGGGGACAAGAACAGATTGGATGGATGTGTGTGAGCAGCAGGTTTCACCTTCAGGCTGTCTCAACATCTGTGAGCTCAAATATCAAAGATGACAGTGAGACATCAGTCCGCACAGGTGTCACCTATAGACGTCTATTCTATACGGAGAAAACGAAGATGGCCACTCCCTTTAATCTGAGCTGTGATAACACAAAAGACAGTGTCAGTCAGACCGTATTAAGATGTTCGATTTGTAGTTTTAACTTCATCCCTGTGGTGAAAGCTCACAGCTAAACAGAAAGATTCAATCACTGCAAACATTCATCTTCTGAAACAACATGTGCTTTAAATTCATAAACTCTCTGCTGTCAAGACTTTTAACGAAAAACATCTTTTTTAAGAAGTTATATAAGAGAAATCAAAGAAGTCTGGCCTGAAGACAAACACATCTTTACGCCACGTGACAGAAAATGACACGCTAAGAAATGTGCATTTTCATTTTAAGAGTAAACACCTCCAAAAAAATCACAAAGAGGTACGAGGCACGACGGGTTCACATATAACTGTGACTTCGTTACCGTGCAGGTCACAACCATAGACTGTATTTGTGTTGTGTTGTTCGCAAATGATTCACAACACTAAGAACGAATCTTTTCAGTGAACGTACTGAACCGAATCACTTCCTCAAGTGATTCGTTCGTTTCTCAGTTCAGTTGAGCTGTCAGCAGCGCAGCCGCCATAACACGCAGCATTTCCAGGCAAGCAGCCGGCGTGCTGCTGCAGAGAGGGAGGGAGGGAGGGACGCCTCAATCACTTGGTGAACGAATCACTCAGTGAGGGATACACTTTGGTGACTGTTGTTCCCCGTTGTCTTAACAGATTTAGTTCCCAATTAAACAAACTGGTAGTGATGAGAGGAGAGTGAGACTCAGCAGCTGTAGAAAGCTCTTGACAGGAACGACGGAGGGACAAAGGGGTGTGTTGTGTTCAAGTGTACCTTGGAGAAAAACCTTAACCGTGTATCAGTTGTGTGTATTCAGTTCAGGAAGTCGGAGTCGCAAGCTCCTCCCGCCAAGCGCTGAATGAGTCCGCGATTCGGTAAACAAATTATTCTAGTGAACTGATTCTAGTGATTCAGTACATCCAAAGGAAGTGACATGACCATCACCAGACTGTTTATAGAATGGACGCCGTCTGCCTCCTCACTGGGAGAAGCCACCTTGAGAACAGCACCCTCTGGTGACAGGCTGCAGTATAGGTATAAATCCCGCCTCCTTTGTGGACAAACTTTAGAAATTTATAACACAGAATATAAAATCTTTCGCCCCCCCTGGTTGTGATGTTGACATGTAGTCACTGTCAGACTGTTTTGTGCTCAAGTCCTCTTTTTTTCTGTACAGCTCCGTTTCAAAAAGTTATTAGGGGGTTCATGTTTTCTGTGATTGACACCTGGTACAGCCTATGGAAAGATTGCATAGCTCAACCGGGGGATACGCTGTTTGAGCAGAGTGTCATCACAGCTAAATGGATACAATGCTACTGAGCAAGCGGTGGTTCCAGGAAGTGAAGAAAATCATGGAAACACAGAGTACGATTCGGCTTCAAATTCCTATAATGCTGGAAGGTGGAGCCAAGTTGTTTATAGTATATACTAGGGCTGGGTGATACGGCCTCATATCAATATCATGATATATTGATCAGTTCACCTCGATAACGATAAATGGACGATAACTACTCCACAAGCTGCTCACCCCCTCCCACATTGACTTCGCCTACTTCAGCTGCTACAACTTTTGAACCGTCCTCCATCTCCTCACCTGTCTTTCCCTCTTTGTTACAGACTGGATGGGGTGGAGTCACGTCTCTGATGTAAAGTCTTAAAGGGACATGAGACCATAGCCTACCTACACACATACAAAACCAACTTTGATATATTTATTTATTTTGACACAGAATATACCGATACGGGCAAAATGATGTCGGTTATTGTCATAAATTTCAGTATCGGTAAATTTTCAGTTTATCGCCCAGCCCTAGTTTATACAGTCATTCACAGTGTGATATAGCAGCTGAGGAATTACATGAACATCTACGCTTGCTGAAAATCCGGCACAGGTCCTGTGTTACATCCATAAGCAGCTTCAGCTCGTCTCTGTTCACTTCTATCAGGTAAAAAAACGATCTTGAGAAGAACTAGACTTGAGTTTTCGTTTATAAAAGTACCTTAAAGTTGCAGGCCTCTAACAAAGGGATATAAAATAAACTGATGCACAGAGTTCAGAGGGTTTAAGAGAATGAAAAATAGACTTCCCGGGAATCTGATCCTCCACACTATCGGTGTATCAGGATGGGGATGTTATCAGGAGGTCACTGAGACTACCTTTAATGCAGAGAGTGGGAAGAAAAGCATGCTGGGAGGGGAGAGTGTGAGATAGAGAGAGAGGAAGACAGGGAAACGAATGAGGGACGTAAAGATCCAGATGGTGAATGTGAGGGAGATAAAGAAAATCGTAGAGACAGTGAGGCAGATTAGAGAGCGAGAGAGAGAGAGAGAGAGAGAGAGAGAGAGGAGGGCTGGACTGTCATATGACTGAGCTGCTGGGAAGGCCCAGCGTCACCTTGAAGCTGCATGATCTCTATCTGCTCCGTCTGGGACTGTTTTGGAAAGACAACGACGCTGACGCAGAGGGAGACTTTCCCTTTTTGAGCGAGCGGAGCTGAGATTTAGAGCTGTAAACAGTTTAGGTTAGAGGTTAGAGGAATGACTCCTCCAAATGAGCGTCCTGACATGTATATGTGTTTCTGCACACGTTGCTTTTTCTTCTCCACGGAGCAAACTAACCCATATCTGTCCAACATGTTTTCATCTCAGCAGCTGTAAGAATGTGCGGAGTATAAACACTCGGCTAAATGTGTAAACCATGTCTGAGCGGGCCAGGCGGTGAAAGTGAAACCATATAGGAAAGAGGAGCAGATTGATCCTCGACCTGAAGCAGAGAAAGGGTGGAAAGAATCCTAAATATGTCCTCTATCCTCTGACATATGAAAGTTAAAAAGCAAAGTCTTGTTATTTAAATTCAAACGACTAAAACACCCAGAAATCCTGATCCTGCTCTGCACACACTCAGACTCCTCTCCGTTCTCGACTCCTGTGGTCTCTCAAACAGCACATTGTCACACATCTCCTCGAGCAGCACTTGAGCTCCACTTAACTTTGACTATAAAAACCCTTCAGTGTCTTCAAAAGCAGAAACAACCTGTAAGTGCTTATGTGTTAAGTGGTTAGGAGCAATGAGAGATGACTTTCTGTTCTTTATGACAGTTTTTTTGGCATTGTACCTGTGTGCAAATGAGAGATTTTAAGTCAAGTGTCCTCTATAACCGTTATGATTTCATTAGATTTGTAGCCTTGCAGAGTTATCACGCACAATGTGAGTCAGAGTCGTTTATTAGGATGAAAAGTTGAAAAGTAGTAGGATGAAAAGTATTTTCTTCTCCTTTGCCAATGGTGCGATTAAAAGTGACTTTGACTCTCGGAGAGGGACGGATCGAGTCATTTCCTTCAAACACAACATCTCTACAGAAATGAAGAGGGTGAATCCCTCAGTTAAAGACTGACCCACACTGCTGACGTCTAATATTTCCCTTTGAATTAATCTAAAAATTATTTCGCCTTCACAATGACTGTGAATGTTGTGGCATCTAGCGGCAAGGTTTCAGAGCGCAGCAGATACACAATCACTCCCAGCCTCCCTGTGAATGTAGGAAAACCTAAAACGTCTGAAAAATCTGCTCGACTGTTTTGTCAGGGATCGGTTTTCCTGCTCTTCTTGAATATGGACTATTTAAGAGGGTGAAGATTCATGTAACGACATTTAAAGGGACTTGAAACAGAGCGGAGATATCTTTTCATGAATTTGGATGATGTGAGTGAATTTCACCCTCTGAGCTTCAACCAGAAAAAGCCGCTAGCAGGGCCGGAGTCACCCATTAGAGGGCTTGGGGGCCCCTTTTGCCCCCCCCTCTTACTAACATCCTCTGAGTGTTGTGTTAAGACAGAAGACTGTAATTGGGAGCCCCCTAGGATTGAAAAGATACAAATCCATGAGAAAATGTCTCTACTTTTGGCACTACAGCCACTTTTGGAGCGAAAAACAAAGACAGTGTCAAACTTAAGTCTTCTACAAGGTGTGTTAGCCTAAAGGGGATGCTAGCTTGGATATTTGTTCATAAGTTCATCAAACACTAAAGACTGGGCCATGTCAACCCTGTAATTTTGCTAATTTGGACAAACTCCAACCAAGGCGTTATCCTCAGTGTGGTGCACAGACATGCTTTTCCACTTATTGATCAGCTGTTTGGGTCTGCAGTCTTCAAAGACACAAAAATGCAACCAAATTGAATAATGATTGATTTAGATGGTGCTGATTTCATGCTGTTTGGACACTTTTTCACGCTAGATTACAGAGAAAGAAAGAGACTAAATGTAGGGAAGGAAAACCATAACCCGGGATTTCCACCGCATCTGGAATGGCAGCAATTTTCACAGTATGCCAATTTCTACTGGATCTGTTTGTGAGGCGAATTTCATGGCGGATTTCAGACAGCAGGAATCACAAGAACCTGCAGATTCAAATCTACTTCTAGACTTATAAAATCAGCATCCTCTCATCGATGGTGTCGTCGGGATGAAATGACCTCTAAAAACCTTTTACTTGTTTGTCCCCACCCAATTGCATGGTGTGAAATACGACCAGCTTTTATTTTGAAAAGAAGCCGGATGTTTTATTTTGTGTCTTTGCCCGACTTCCTCTCCAGCACGGGTTAATCTGTGCTGAATTTATCCGGCATGCTCTGGCATCCGGAAAAAATAGAACTCTTGCGATCAGCTGTGGAGTCCGGCGATCTGCAGTGGAACGAAAAGAGGCCAGCGGAAATTGACACGTTAACTTGAAAGGTTACGATCGGCAGATACGGCCTTTTCGTAGCCGTTTCGGATGCAGTGGAAATTGCCGGTTAGACTACTTGCTGTCTTGGATGGAATTTGGTCATGACAGTGTCTCAGAACCGTCGGGAAGCAGAGAACACCTGTTGCTCACATGATACTGCAGTCCACGTCATTCACCAGTGGTAATCCTGGTCCTATCAGAGCTACAGTTGCTATCCTAGCCAACATTTCATCTAGTTTCTTACCAAAGAAGCTGAGCTGGCCAACAACCCTGTGAAAATACTCTTTATATTGAAAATCAGCCTTACTGAAAATGTCCTGAATGAGTTAAACACATCGCTTCACTCTGATATTTTTTTGTTTTTTGGAGGGAAGTTACAGAACTGGATTTCCTGTTGTGGAAACCTAATGACACATAATGAGACAGCATGGAGAGAGGAGAAAAAATGTGAAACATCACATGTTAAGAGCAGGGATTTCCAGAACAGAGAGCCCAGGGGACACGAGCGCTTCCAGCCGGTCCCCCTCTGGAGGTGTCATGAACACAGATGAATGAAACATCTGTGATGAGTAACACAGAGGACCCACCCAAACTGCCTTTTCCTCTTTAACCGTCCGGCTTATGCTCTCCATGTGATCAGCGACCACTATTACAGGACAGGGATACTATCTTATCCTCCATTAGAAACACTAAATCACAAGAGCCCCTATAAATCTCCACTTGACAAGTAAACTTCTAAGAGCAAAGTTATTTTCATGACTGTATGACACAACACTAAAACAGTGGTGGTTATTCAGGACAGAGTGAAACCTCCTTGGACGCCTGAAAAGATGCAGCTGCAGAGTAAATCATCTGGAAATTTCAAGTTATCAGGAAAAACACCCGCCTAGTAAAACATTGTGTTTCCTCTGACTCTGTGTGTTTGGGAGGACTTACTACAGACTGGCACGAACAGCAGCCAATATTGCTGAAGGGCTCAACTTTGCCCAACTTTAGATTACAAACAACAACAAACACAGCCGTGGCGTTGGGTTGAAGACAGGTTCTGCTTGCTTGTTTACATCGAAAAAAACAGCCGACACACAAAACTCTGCTCCGGTATTTCAAACAGGTGGAGCTGATTTTAGTCTCTGAGTGGATTGTGACCTTTTAAAGAGGACCTGTAATGCTTTTAAGGAGGCGGACTGAACTGGGACAAGACTGCAGTCCAGTTAAATCATCTAATCGAGCTGTAACTGTAGCATGTAAACATGACTGATGATTTCCTTGTAAACAAACGCCAGTGTAAGCAATTGGAGAGATTGGTAGTTACTATGAACCTCGTTTCTATGGCGATCATGGTCCTATAGAGTGATCTCCGCAAATTGAAGAGAAAAAAGAATAGACAAAATCTGTTCACCCTAAATCTGTTCACGCCATCCATCCCGGACAGCTCCTATTGGTCAATCTCCTGCTCTGCCTTTCCATCCAATCACCTCGCTGTATTGGACACACCCCTCTCCCGTAGTTCCGACTCGTCCCCTCCCACTCTCTCGGCCCTCCTCGGAACTCTGAGTGGCTAAAAGTAGCGTAGCAGCTTAGCTACTTAGCCTGAAACAGACGCCGATAATTTTTATCGCCTTTTATCGTGGCACATGTTACATAAATAACTCTTATTAGTCTCTGCAATGTCAACACGGTAGCTGTCCAGGCAGCTGCACGGCGCTCGCTAGCAGAGCTGGCGTTTACTGCCGCTAGTCACAAGCAATCCGACATGGTGAATCCTATTTGAAGCTAGCGTAGGATCTTCTGCCGGCCGGCTTCTTGCTCTGTCCGAGGGGATGTGTCGTGGGAGGGAGATAGAGGTTCAGGGGGGAGTTATCATGGAGCACAGAGGGGAGAGGTTTGTGTGTGGGTTGGGACGCTTTTTTCAAATCTGCCTCAACGGCTCAGTTTTTTACAACTGTTTCTCAGATCGTCAACCAGGACTTTAACTACTAAAACCTGATCTGGGCTCAAAACTGCAAGCGGTAAATAAAAATATAACTGCAGCTACGGTAACAACAGGTAATGTATCCTGACGGGGCTAAAGGAGGAGCTAAGTGGCCAGCCTTAGAGAATTTCTGTAAAGGTTGAAGTTTCTGTCTGTTTCATGATGATAGGACTGTGTAAAAAGTAACACCTACAAGCTACGTCTGACTTTCTATCAGCGGAAAATCTGCCAAAATGAAGCGTCTCTGGCTCCAGGGTGAGATAGATATGAATATTTGAGATTCAGATCAAGCAAACTCACTCTTAAAGTGTCCCAGATTTATTTAAAGAAAGAGGAAATATTGTTTAGCGAGTCTCCTTAGACCATGTTTTATGGTTTGGGTCGGTGTATCTCGGTCTAGATAGGGATACTCAACTCCACACCAACCTTACTCCGCCCGGTTGTTTGGCTGTTAATTTATCAAACATGAGTAAACAGTCCTCACACGCACTTAAACATAAAATCTCGGCCAATAGCGAGAGCGCCGCTCAAACTGAACTCAAGCACCAAAGCAAAGGCGCCTCCTAGTGACGCTTCCCTGCTGGTGACTTGGAAACACAGAAAGTTTTAGCTGTTACACGAGAGAAGGGAAGGAAACTCCAGGGAGAAATCAGAGGAGTATCAAGCTTGGGATGATTGCCAGTTCAGTAGGATGTTGTTGACTTTGTTTACTTTAACAAGAGTGAAAATGATAAATGCAGAAGGTCTCTAGACATTTCTAGAAAGTTTTCCAAGAACATTGTCTACCAAGAAAACCGGCTACAAAGCTGGATAATATACAAGAAAATTAAATGAAATGAATTTGCCGCAGTGATTAGTTTCACTTCCATCCAAACTCCTCAGACACGGAGTGAAGAAATTGGGACAACAAGTAAAACAGGTACAAGAAGAGAGAAGAAAAGCTGATAGCTGAGCAGAGTTGATTACACACAGGAAGGTAGGAATGCAGAGCCAAAAGGGACATCAGTTTCTCTTCGCTGTAACCTTATCAGTCTGTGAAACCGCCTCTGAGACATTATGCCCGCTCCCACCTTTATCTACTTAATGTTACTGTCAGGAGTCCAGCCGCTTGACTTCTCTCTTTCCTACTGAACCAAACATTGTAAAAGTTTCCTGTTGCAGCAAAGAGAGCTCAGAAATACACCCAGGGAGCTCCTCTCGGGACACCCTGGAGGCCTTTTTTCGCCTCTTGTACCCACAAACTGAGCTCCGGCCTCCCTCATCCTGCTGAGTCCCTGCATATCAGAAAAAAAAGGCTGTGACTCCAAATCCGCTGCTGCAACAGCTGCTTTGGCAGCCTCGTGCACACACTTCCAGCACATGCACGCACACACATTAGTGGACTCCCACAGCAGCAGCAGGGAAAGCATCCACCAGGCGCTCGGGACGCCCACTGATGCGCGCCATTATCCGGAGCTGAACAGAGCACATGTCATGTCAGAGAGTGGAAAGAAGAGGACCAGTGCGCGTGATTTTCTGCATGTTAAGGTCTGTTAGGAGACTGGACACACGCGCGCGCACACATAGGGTTGGACACAGCACGTGCATTTTTGGGTTACTGGGCTATCTGGCTCCGATCCACTGAACGGTACCAAAGATTCACATTCTGGTCATTAAATGGGGAACATAACCTTTTAGGTGGGTTATAAAAATAAAGTTGTAGATCGTATCTAAAGGTGCAAATATGAAGATACGATCTACAACTACAGAAAACTACAAGAAAAGTAATTTCTGTTTGATTTTGGAATCATATTTGTCTTTATATCGCTGGTTTCTTTTCCTTCAGTAACTTGAACCGTCAGCTTTTACGTGTTTTAAACTCACAAACTGCTTTTTCTGAATGATATTTGCAGTTCAAAAGAAGAGGCTGCAAAGAAATTACAAAGGGAACATTTCATCCCCCCGCAGGAATCGTTTGAGTGGACTTCTGTGCGCACAGACACGCTTCACTCTCTCCACAACACTGTCTCTGCACGTATGCACACTGGGTGGAAAAACTGCACGAGTATTCACTGCATCTTCCTCCGTGTTGGGAGTCAACCTTGAAGTCTCAGCTTTCACTCTCACAAACACAGAAAAAAAAAAAACAATTTGCGCGTCAGTAATCCAAAACTACATGCTGAACCACATCTGAGCGTTCCCGTGCGCACTCAGCCAGTTCCGCTCCCTCCAACACGCCTTAGAACAAGAGCGAGACTCCTGTGTGTGTGCACGAGAACACGGCAAGACTTCTAATGATAGTGTGCGTAAGCGAGCTTTGCAAAGAAAGACCCAACCCTTCCTCTCTACCTGTGCACACACACACACCGAGAGGAGAAGTGAGTTTGTCCGCTCCTGTTTGCCTTCGGGCAGCGCGCGGCGTCTCACATTCTACCTTGTTTTACCTGCCAGAGCTAAAGTGTAAATAACTCACCGGGCAAATCATGCAACTCCTCGTTTATTTAAAGGTGTTAGAAGTTAATCTGGATCCATCAGATACAATTCAGGAGACTCACCGTGATGCAAAATCCAGTTTCCAAAACTTTTTGAAGCTTTTTCTACAACAGGGATTCCACCAGCTCCGGAGCGGTGGAATCACAGAATCAGGAGCGCAGTAAGGATAACTCACTGACTTTATGCTTTCTGATTAATCATATTTAAAAACTTTACTCTGTCGTTTGGTGATTTTTTGAAAACCAAAATGTTCTCCAGCGACAGAAAAAGAAACCCTCAATGAAGCGAGAAATGAGAATAAATCAAAGCAGGTTCTCACCGTAATAAAGGTAACCATAGCATCGGCGGGTTAGTATCCAACAGAGTCGACATGAAGGAGATTAAATTTTAGACAGAATCCTTCGGCGAAAACTTCCCACTTTCTGAGGGCTGCCGCTGGTCTGTGCGCCACACTGGTTCTGTGTGGAGAGGATCAGGGTGTGCGTAATGCTCTCTCTCTCTCTCTCTCTCTCTCTCTCTCTCTCTCTCGCTCTCTCTCTCTCTCTCTCTCTCTCTCACATAATCTACGCCGCTCTCCCTGTTGCAGGACAGATGGCTCTTGGCGCATGTTGCAGCAAAAACCTGCATGCATGCTGCCACTGTCTGTCAGCGGGGCTGGCCTGCTGACATGAATTAGGACACAGAATTAGGAGCTTGTGCGTCTGTGTGAGTTTGTCTGTCTGTCAGTGTGTGTGTGTGTGTGTGTGTGTGTGTGTGTGTGTGTGTGTGTGTGTGTGTGTCACCACTACAAGCTCTATGTCGTAATGTACTGTGAGCTGACATTCAGCAGCTTTCCCCAAATTTCACTCCATTTCCAAAAGTGTCCTGCTGTGATGTTGTTTGCAAAGTTGGGGAAATACCACGCTGCGAAAAAATTGATATGTCATGTTCGGGGGCAATTTTGACATAAATGACTTTGGCTTGTGGTTAACACATGTGCAGTAAGTTAACATGCCATCATCCTGAACAATGCCTCCTCTTGAAGCGCTCTCCAGGGGATGAAATGTAAAATCAAAGCGCCCTCTAGATGCCCCTAGTTAAAAAAAAATACATGAAAACAACCTTTCAGATCTTTTTCATCGGAAAAATTGCGATAAATGACCCGAGGAGACACTTAACATTCTTGGTGAGCATGTAAGGTTGACTGTAGATTCAGCTGCTTCATTTAAAGCTCCAGTAAGGAGTTTTTGGAAATGGAAATAAACACTGTTGTCTTATTGTTGCCCAAATGTTTCCAAAAATATGTTTAAGAGGGTTAATGTGCAGGAGTTTGCAAACAATATGCTGTTTTGCACTTTAAACTGTTTATTTAGATATACAAGTACCTCTGTTGACAAAGAAAAGAGCCAATCAGGGGAAAATATGACGACCTGATGACCCCTTGGCCTGTGGTCATGCTCCTGTCAGACCTCTTTTTTTTTCTGTTTGACCACCATGAGTTTGAAATAACTTCCAGTTCCTTCTTGCTTTGTTTCTGATCGGAAAACTGACTGTTTTTACCCTCCAAAATTTGAAAAACGGTGATATAATTATCTCTGATATCACATATTGGTGATCAGATAGTTAGAAGTTGTCAAATTATTTAGAGGTTTCAGTTTTTCTGTTTGTTTAAAGTGGTCGCATTTAGACTAAACGATAGAACTAGAAAAAAAGAAAGAAGATAATAAATTCAAAACAATAATACATATATATTTTAGTTTTCAGTTTTATGATTCTTACACTCTCACTTTAACTTAATTTTGCCTTTATTTCTTTTGTCCTATTTTTACTCTGCGATTTTTGTTCAAAGCCAAAGTTCAATGAAAACTTTGGTGTTAAATCTGGAAAATCTGGTGTCCATGTGACCAAAAACACTAAAAAGGTGTTAAAATGATTGCAAAGAAGAACATCAACCAGCTTCAAAACAAAAATTCAGAATTTTGTTTTCTTATTCATTATCTGTATTAAGATACCACCATGCATAAACATACATGAAATGTATTTTCACTTCTTTATATTTGTGGTTGAAACTTTTCAACGCTCATGGAAAGTTTTTGGTTAATTTTTGCCCTTGGATCAGGTGAATTTACTTTAAACATGCCTTATGGAAACGTACAAACTGGCAGACTTTAGCTAAGTCGACTCACTTCGACCAAAGTGAAACCAAAGAGCAAACAAATAAATGAGAAAACTCCTCTGAAAGTCTTTTTAAAAGCTTCTAAGTCACGACTAAATACTGTCACGCCATATGTAGAGGGAGTCGTTGGTCTTGTTATCATCTTCACAGCTGCACCAGATTAGAGAGAGCTGGTGTGGAGTTATTTTCAGAAGCTCTGACAGATGACCTGTGAGGCCTGGTTGTAATAACACCCCCCACAGGGTTCAGATCATGTTGGTTTTAACCTGCAGATTCGGCTGAACCGTGGTCAGCTGGTCCTCCAGTAGACCTCTACGACCGTGTCTTCGGTTTTATTTGTTTCTGTTGAATTTGGCCCTCAAACATGTTTGGATGAACGCCTCGTTTTCTGAGTCCGCTGAAGACAGAACCAAACAGACTGGGTAGATGGATGGACTCTGTTGGTCTCCTCCTCCTCCATATCTTGTGAATCTCGACAGAACATCTGGTAAAAGCTCTGAATGTTTTCTCAATGGCAAGTGTAAACAGGCTGAGACCTGACCTGACCTGTCTGATCATTTGACAGTCGGGTGGTGGATGTACTGACATCTCAAAACACTGGAACAAGCAGTAGCTAAGGTGGCTGGAGGGCACAACATCATGTTGTCAACCAAAAGCTCTGCCAACCCAACACAACCAGACTTTGCAAATGGCAGTAATGTTGTACACTTGTATTGGGATTAAGCCTGCCAAACCGCAGCCATAATCACAGATTTGTACAAAGTCTGGCAGCAACTCTGCTTGTACAAGTGTGGAGGGAAAAAAAGACGATGCTAAAAAAGTCTGACTTAACTTTTTCAGAGGCCCGGTGCACAGATCCTTTTGAGCAGCCAGTGCTGAACATTATCCAGTTGATAAAGTCGAGACTTTAGAGCTCAGTCTTCCTTTTAAACAGCCAAAAAAAAATATTTAGATAAAGATAGGTAGGTAAAGATACCCTCCGAAACTGGATGTTGAGTGATGTAGACTACAGTTGTGTACAAGCTGCTCGTATCTTCTGATTCAGAATGGTCCTGGACGACTGTCGTTACCAAGACCTTCAAGACAGCTTCAGCTTTCTGGGTTTGTATAAGTGTTGGCTCCAAGTTTTCACACCTGCACCACCAGGTAACTTCTTCTTCCTCTGTAGCCAGCACAAGCACATGGACGTTGGACTTGACGATTTTCTTGATAGGCTTTGCATCTTCAGGTACCTTGGAATGATCGATTGGTTTGAGCACCGAGGACTACGTCTTCAATCTGTTCTTTACCAGAGGACACCAATCTAAAATTAACAACCAATCATGAATCAGCACTGTTACAGGGAACTCTTTCTTCGCTCCTTGATTTGTAGGTCTTGCACCACCTCAAGGCGCCCTGTTATCAGGAGATCTTCAGTGTGTGAATGCACCTTCAGTGTTTCAAAAGCTCCCTCTTTCATGGTGTGCTGCAAGCATAATGCGGTGGAGTATGTGTAGGTATCCCATTCTGGTGATGGTGGCGGCACTGGTGGATTAGGGTGGGGGGGTTGCTTCAAACTAGTTTGGGTGGTAATCCTCTGTTTCTGGACATGTGAGGTTACAGGATGGGACCAAAAACTCGAGCTGCTGCGGGTGCATTCAGGGCCAAAAAAAATCAGTGTCTGCAGATCTATTTGGGTGAGATCGAAGTCGTTGATAGTGGGTCAGGAGATTTTGAACAAGTTGCAGCCTTGCAGCTATTTCTACCTCAGGGCCATTAGCTTGCTGTGCTTTGTGTAAGATGTGGGCGGATGAGATCGAAATAGCAGCAGATAAGTGTCATGCTTTGAGGGCATGCATGGTGGCATCTTTGTTCTGCTCAAATACAAACACCAATTCCAAGAATTCTGACCCATATTCAATTGGAAACACCAGAAAGACAAGATATTTAATGTTCAAACTGATCAGTGTTGCCAGATAGGTAATCTATAATTATTGTACCAGATACTCAAAATTATAGTATTTTTGGAGAAGTTATCGTACACCTGTCAGGATCAAAATAACAATCTAACCGTTTCATGGTAGTCACATACAATCACTTTGTTTAGCGTCCTACAGGCACTCACGATTTGTGACGAGAGAGTTGTGGTCATTCACCGCCCCGCCCCACATCAGCAGCGTATGATCAGCAGCTCCAACTCAGCTGTTCGACACTAATACGTCCCCTTTACACAAATGACAGGTGGGAACTCATGAGCCAGATCATGAGACCTTAACCCGAGATTTCCTCTGCATACACGATGGCTCCAATCTGGAACGGCAGTGATTTTTGCCGTACGCCAATTCCTACGCCAAGTGAGACAAACTTCACTCAAACTTCGCAAATAAAAAACCAAAATAAAGTTTCTGGCAGACTGAGACAGTCCCATTGCACCACACGTTCACCATCAGACTCCATCAAATTATCGTACATTTAGCCTTTTTTTCTGGGTTTCTGATCGTATATCGTACAGAGGGCAAAATTATCGTACAAATACGATAATTATCACACACTTGGCAATCCTAGAACTGCTAAAATAAATTGTTTTTATTGTTTGCACTCATTTTGAATTTGACGCCTGCAGCTCGTTCCAAAAAAGTTGCAAACGTGTTAAACTTTTTCAAAACTGACTCATTCCCGTGTTTTCCCTTGTTTGCATACGTGTGTTGGGGTCGGTTCTGGGACTCCGGAACTAACTACTGATCCCCGCCGAGGCCCTATGAGCCTAACTCGACTGAACACCCACGAAGAAAGGTCCACACATTTATCAAGTGGTTATATAACTCATCAGTAGCGACTTGGATAAGGGTGTGATGGGGTGGGATTATTTTTATTTAATTACTAACACACATCAGAACGAGCGACTGTACAGAAAGGAACTAGATCCACATTCAACCGGGTCAATCTTTCAACAACACAGAAAGTTAGCCTGGCGCTATTATTTGTCTCTGTCCGAGAAAAATAATCAGCAGAGTCCATTTCCAGAAGACACCCAGAGGCCATGGTCTGAGGTTTCATAGCCTTTGGAAGCAGTGACCCCCTTTTGCAGAAATTTCCATTTACCCAGTGGTTAGCAATAAAGGACTCCAACCTCGACGCCTTTGCCTGCGCATCGCCATTGTTTACACGAGCAACTGGAGAAGCGAGAGTGGAGCTAGTGAGGAGAAATACCCCCTCAGAGCAGATTATTAGCTGCACTTGTATGTAAATATCTTTTCATCAGCATTAATTAAAACTCAATTGACGTCAAGCTGGTCCTGAGATCGCATTACGTAGGATTGCATCCATAAAAACCTGTATATCTGCAGGGAAAGTACTGTATGTGGTTTTTCTCCCCCTCTATGACAAAGCCTTAGTCATACATCAGGAGACATCCCTGAATACCAGCCTCTCGTTCAGCATCATCACCGTAAAGGAAGTGTTCAATTTTTAACGAGCACAATGGCAACGCACATCCTCTGCAGATCCCTCAGGCCCGACACGTGACACGACAACTGTGTAATAATGATCCTGGACCGCGGCGCGATCATCAAATATGAAAGGAGCGAGGGAGAGGGGGAAGATTTTGAAGAGGCGGAGGACAAGTCAGAGAGGAGGAGGATGGAGGGATGAAGAGGAGGAGATGAAGGGAATGAAAAGAGGGTTGAAAGACAGCTTGTAGAAGTTTGTGTACTTTATA